CGGGATGGATACGGGATGGTACAGTAGCCTATCAGACGACCTAGGGCCTAACGATCCTTGCACTCTTTTTCTCCCTTTCGAGCATTCCATAACATTACCTCTATCACATAAATTGGGAAGCTTAAGTCCGATCCCTCCATGTTTGTATTTCTTATTTGTTCCCTGATATGGAGAAAAGCTACCGCATAAATTTTTCTCCACAGAGATCAAACCCAGTAAACATTTCTGAAGAATACCTAAATTTTCTCCAGAAAAAATAACCAATTGTCCAATCGCTATATAATCAAACTACTCTCAATCAAAAGCTGGGAAAGAAACTGGGAACCAAAGTGATGCAAAAAGACAGAGAAAGCCTTTTTTTCCCTTTCCTGCATGTACACGCTCAGTGTGAGACGTCCCACGCCCGCTAGTTGCTAGTTTCGTCAGAAAAATAAATGGAAAAGAGAAAGGCAGCGAGAGTGAGAAAGTATCTGAGATGCGGGAAATTAAAAACGCACGCAAGAATGTACGCACGCGAATGTACAAAAGGGGAATTGAATAAAACCGCTTGTTATCCCATTCTTCAATCCTGAATGACGTGCGGAAGACTGATGGATTGACCAGGGGGCACGAATGTGACCGCTGATCAGAGGTGGTTGACAGAACTGCTTTAGCAAGCAGCATGGATGAAATTGGATGCCTCCATGGTGGTACTACGCTGATGTGCAACTTAGTGAAGATGATTTTGATGGAACGTGTCTGTGATGACTCGGCGTCTACTAAGATGCAAGTTCTCCAGTCAACCTCCAGGAGTCAATTTTTAGCAATTCAAATCGACAGAAGTGATTAAACAGGGAGGCACAAATAAGAGACACTCACTGGCAGCATTAAATAGTTCGGAATGAAGAGCGGAGGCGGAAGAGGTGGAGGAGGGGGACCAAGCATCGACACTGCCGACGCCAGCACCACTGCCGCTGCCGGACGCCGAAGTTGTGGAAGGCGTGGCAGAGGAGCCTGAAGTAGAAGAGGTGGAGGTGGCCGAATTGGAAGAGGGTCGTTGTTGTCGCTGCTGGTGCTGCTGCTGCTGCTGTTGTTGTTGTTGTTGTAGAAGGCGTTGCTGCTGATGCTGCTGTTGCTGTTGTTGAAATGCCGTCAGATCGTAGATGTTCGACGGTGGTGGAGGCGGTGCGGGCATAAAGCCTCCAAAGGAACCGATCAGTCCCGGTGACAGTAGGCTTCCATACATCCGATTCGCCGTCTTCTCCATCTAAACACAAACAGGAAGCCTTAAGTAAACACTTAAACCTAACTTAGTTTTATCAATTGAAGAGGGTTAAATGGCCTATCATTCCTCTGCCACTGCCGCCAAACGTTCAACGCATCTATCATTCTGGCTGTATCGTGACAACTAATACCATCGAATGGAGCTTTTTTTTCGACCTAACGCGCATGACCAAAATTTCGTCTACAGTGGTCTTTGTTTATGTGTTTGAGCGAGCGATACTGTCAATTTTAGTTTAGGGTACACAACTTCGACTTTTTTCCTTCACAGGCCCACTTTGTTAATCAAAAAGTTCAATAGCCGATGCAATAGTGAATTACTCTGTTCCTGCAGATGCTTTTGACAGCGACTTTTTACAAAATATCATCACATCACAAAGTTTTTGCTGTGCTATTAATCATCATAAAAATGTTAGCCGTGATGCCAGTAGCTTGACTTATCGTACCTTTGAAATAGTGCACAGACTCAAAACCTAGTTTTGCAAACAAAATAAATAGGAAGGAAAAAGATCCGCAGACAAACAACCTAGACAGGGTAGAGGGGGGGGGAGTGGCATCAGATAGCTCAGTTACTTTTAATCAAGCTTTTGAATTATTAAATCAGCTTGTGAGGCGCATGTAAGTGGTTTAGGGAATGGCAGAACCATCATCTTGACCAGAAGCAGTAGCACTACCAGAAGTGGTAAAATCCCATTGCCTCCCTCATCCACATACATACACTCAGACATAATGCATGCAGGTAAGCACACATTTTTTTGGCTAATTTGGATGAGAGAGAGCAAGACGAGCAAGGAGGAGGAAGGAGGGCAGAAAAAACCACCACGACGAGAATACACACACACACACACGCCTTCATTTATCCAATACGTTCATTCATTTACGTGTGCATGTATGTACTTCCTACTTTCCCCATGCTGTTGTTGCTGCTGCTGCCATGGCTCGTAAAAAAGTCTGCAATTCTGTAGCACTGGTGTTGTTACTGCCGTTGCCAGTACTAACAGCAGAGACCCTAGATTATAACCCTCCATCACAACGTATTTGCTGTCTGATTACCTCTAGGTTCCGAGTTAGGAGGTTGTTAAAAATTTTCTCCTTCACTGTCCTACTACTAACGTCACAAATCATTAATAAGTAGTATCTTGTCGTTGATAAAATTTGTAAACATGCCTTGCTTCAAAACTCGTCGGTAGAGATAGCTCAAGTGTCTGGCAAGACGAGGGTGCGGCTAGTTAATGAATGTAAATTAGTGCAGTTAAGAGATATCCCTCAAATAGACAGCATTAATGCGGGAGACAGACTTGAAGTGCAACCAAGGTGAGTAGTGGAGTAAATAAGCTAAAAGCACTTGGAGGAGATAGTTGATACCCTTAAGCTAGCCATACATTACTATACCTACTTCCCCCTGAGTGGAATTTTTCTTTTTTTTTTTTTTTTAAGGTTAAGGCGATGGTCAGTCACCTCCACTAACAAGTAGCCTTAACAGCAAAACAAGGGAGAAATAGAATGCCTTCAACATGCTAGAAGCTCGTTTCACTGACCTCTTACTGAGGTTCGTCTCAAATGTCATTCACGAGAAGAGGTCAGATGTGTGATAGATGTGGGTATTGACCCCATGCCTTGGCGATTAACCATGGCAAAAAGGTGACCCAAGTTTTTGGAGAGGGGACGCACGATTAAGGCAAACATTCCCACAAATGCCGCTAATGCCGTCGACCTGCGAGCACATTAATCAAGCACTGGACCTGTTTCTATGACATCTCGGTAATATGGTCAGATTCCCACACTCGTTTTGAGGTGGCCGAGACTTCAAGGGTGAATTTCGGTAGTAAATATGGTTTCCAAACAGGAAGGTTGGTTTGGTTCACTCTGAAGATCAACAGTGCTAGATCTCCATAAAATCGAATGAAGGGATGGATACGCAACGATTGATAAAAGGACGAAAAGGGAATACACGAATACATAATGAAAGGATGTGGAACAGATGGATGGACTTGAGACAGATCTCGACTGGATGAATGGATGGGGTTGGACACGGTGGAAAGGGATGAATAATAGACTGAGAAATGACAGAGTAAATTAGATGATTGGGTAGATATATAAAGATATCTGGGAGGGATGGATTAATGACAAGATAGATGTGTTTTGAGAAACGGATGGAAACCAAATAAGTGATATAGGATAGATTGCTACTTAATAAGCTCATTCAATATGAAATGCGTGAATAGACGGGCCAATGGAATAGTGGATGAATGTATGGATACGCAAGTAAATTCCATAGGTTCTGTATAGATGAATGGATAGAGGAGGAATGAACGAACAAAAGGTTAAATCACCACTGTTTACACATACTCAAGTCCATTTATGTATGCAGCAATTCAATAATGGAAACTTTCTTGTGTATATATACCTTAAATAGGTGGATATTTTAATCTGGAGCTAATTGCATTTTTGGACAGCTAAGGGACAGAAGCAGGCCCGCCTCACAATATCCCTTTAGAATCCGGTGTAACAAGCACTGTCATGTCATGATGCTGGCGACGATGAAAATTGCTGGCCAATTACTCTTCTCTTCCCCTTTGGCTCCTCCTCAGCCGCAATTCTCCTCCTCTCTTCCCTCTACCCCATCATCGCGTGTCCATCATCACATGTCGTGCACTTTTAAAATGTCTCCCTGCCTTCCTAAATGGCCATGTAAACATGCATAAATTGTGCCAGCTGTGTCCTCACCCATTTACCTTCCTTCCTCTGTCTGTACTACTGATATAAGAAATTCAGTAGAGGCTGCCAATTCCCCCAAATATAACGTATGTACTTAATAAGCAGCAAGTTTTAAAAGAGGGGTAAAATTATTTACTGAATAGAGTTTGCTTTTAAGTGTTTCCTCAATAAAAATCGCCTAGTATACGAAATGCGCTCACTGCAGTAGAGGAGCATAATGTAGAACCAAATGCTTTGCACCCCGAAGTAAACCGCAGTGTGAGACAGACAAACCGTATCGAAAACTTCGAAATGCACAATTACTATTAAATTTGGAGGTGTTTGCATCGTGACAAAAAAGACCTGTATGGTCCCTGTTCCTATCTCAACGTTGACTTGGAATCACCCTAATCCTGTTGCGGCGAACGGAGTGGAGGAGCACTAGCCACAAAGGACGACAGTGAATGCATGATGGGAGGTGTTTCACTCGGATGCTTACTATGACATGGGCATCCTCAGTACTCCGCAAGTCAACCAGACTACAGCCACTTAACCTACAACTTTACTTCCAAACGCCTTTGCCTTAAAACACCTTCGAGGGTAACTCAGTCGTGATACTAGTGATAATACCGAAAAATTCCCACAAAAGGGGACATTTTAGCTTTAGTACACGGAATAAAACAAAGGAATCAGACATTGCATGTGTGCCGACTCATGACAAAAAAATCATCGAAACCACATCCCATTCGCATGGTTCGGATAATCCCCTTTCATGGACATAAAGACGATTTGGAAGAATCGAAATGCATACAATACTAAGGTGAGAACAGTGAATTGTGTGCAATAATCTGAGGCCGCTACATTTTTCCGCATATACATAAACAACCCAAATTGGACAGCAATAAAATGGCAACGAAGTAGAGATAAAGGATTGAAACAAGGCGTAGCAAAATTGTACGTGGATCTTCTCAGTCCTCCATTTATTCCATACATCGATATTTCAGGAGCAAAGCGCTGCAGATAAAGCTAAACCCCACATCTGACTTTTAATTAAATGGGCAATAAGTGTGTAATGTAAGCAGTGTCGTAGACAAGGCTGCGTCACATCACCAACTGTCAAGTAGCGCAGTTTGCAAGTGCGCACGAAATGACGAATTCGGTAATAAATTAGCAGCATTGTTGTGTGGCAGGCGAATGAGTGGGTAGGCGGGCGGGTAGGCGAATGGATGGGCGGTCGGTTAATAGATTGGTCAGACTGTCGAGGGGTCCGGAGAACGTGCAAGTCTACATGCTAGCATCTACACACATGCATGCAGACATGCACACGTCTGCACACTCACACACACACACATATACACGGACACAGACACACGCTAGACATAGCACCCGGCCCAACCCATGTGTGCGAAAACATTAATCATGCCTTTCACCGTTAGCCAATGATTGATTGCTCTGAATGGTTGTCTTCCTGTGTGCCTATGTATGCCTAGGTTTTAGTCAAATCAAAAGTCATTCATGTCAAGTAGTGCCTCCATACAGTTGGCCCCTAGATGTCCTTCCCTGAAGCGCAAATTGATATCTCCAGTTTTTAGTTCCTTTTAAAGTAGATTGAAAGCAGACAAAGGTTTGTTTGCAAGGCAGCTCTTGTCAATCCCTTTGGAGAGCCAGCTTCCATGATGGTGTGAGGCTCTGCTACTAATTCGCCTTTTAACACTTCTATTTGCTTCTTGCAAAACTGCCTTACAGCGTCTTCAGAAAATAACTCGGATGTATCAGGTCTCGATGACTGAATAACGAGTTATAACAGATGGATCGTTGAAAAAAGGATCTTTACTTAACAATAAAACTAGACTGAATTTGAACAAGTTAAAAATATTTATAATGGCGTGAATACAGAGAACAAGATCAGAGTGCTTAGCGACGATATTAGCCTGAGGCAGACGACCGGGTAGCATTGAAATGGCAATGATTTGGAAAAGCAGAATTAAATCAAAATGCAGATCCAAGGACCGACTAAATGTTGCTTATTTTAGAAGCAAACCGTCAAGCCTCTCCTAACCTTAAGTGGCGCCTAGGAGATGGTTCCTTGTAATGCGTCTGGCAAAGAGGTTGTGGACCCATTGAAACCTCGGAAAGGGAGGGTGAGGGCCATCGCAATCGCTAACTAAGCTCAATTCCTCCTAAACCGACATATCTCGGGTTGTAGCTAACTAACTAAATCTTCAATCATTTCCCACGGCTTTTAAGCATCGACAGTTTACATTATGGCATCGTGCAAAAAAGAAGCACAAATGGATCCATGCGAATGACTAAAATGAAGAGTTAACGAAGATTGAAATTCATCAGAATTCGTCCACATGTCGATATACTTCACTTCCAGAGCCGTGTGCATACGACTGGTGTGAGTAGGCGATTTTCACAATCCAACAGAGTTACTCATGTCGCTAGGTCAGTTCTCATTCAGTCATGATTGACCCTTCATAAGTAAATGCTGGATTAATCTAAAGGACCGAAGAGTTTGAAGAACTCCTTTGTGTTCCAGCTTCCTAGCTGACATTAAATCAGAATGGGCTAGCCATTTCATTGTGGAATCTCGAGGATAGAAATCCACCATAAAAGAAACGATTTATGTCACATCTGTCAAATTTTAAAATGAACACATCCTTTCAAAGACTCTTTCAAACCCCGCAAATAGACCTCCACGACGTTGGTAGGGTGGTTTGGCTACACCAACCCCTATAACGGCGGCTCTTTAAGCTGACGGCTAGGCTTCTTCCAAACCCTAACGTCTTAGTCGTCAGGGTCGATTTGGGCATCTTAAGACGTGCTTGACACCTCGTCATTGCTTCAGACTGATTGTCACCGAAGAAAGTCAACCTCCGTGAACGGCTGTGGAAATGTTCTGCATCACACCCAACGACAAGCGGAACGTTAACCAAAACATTGTCTTTAACGTTCCAATTAAATCTTGCTTAATTTCTCGGTCCTTCAAATTAAACTTCACTTCCAAATTCATATGTCTACAGGAAGAAGGATTGACACGGGTTCTTTAGGTGCCACCCACCACAGTAAGCGTTCGCGTTAAAACGCGTTGCCGCGAATTTAGTGTTTGAATCTTAGCACAACAATGGCCCGTCAATCACCGATCGTTAGTTTTACTTGCTCCCTAGCTCACACAAACACTGGATTGACGCATGCAGCGGCAGTGACACTGGCGATAATAGTAATGAGAAGTAAGACTTGAGAAAGGAGGGACAAAAGTCCGCCAACTTCTCCATCCCACTGCCGCTGATCTCCCCCTAGTGTGCATGTGCTGTGCTGGTGACGCAACGGTGTGCAGGCTAACAGGTAGTCAGTCAGTCGGTGGTGTTGAAAATGAAGAAATGGTGAGAAAATTGTATTACTGAAAAAAAAGAGGAGAGGGAAGAGGTCTCTGTGAAATCTCAACTTGCACACGTCTCTAAAATGTGGTTTAAATTTACTACGCAGAGTCGAGTGATGTAATAACAAGTGATAGGCCGGTGAAACCAGAAAGTTTTACTAGAAGTATTAAAAATGGTCCTTTGCTTTCGCCAACCCTCAATAATGTTCTGAATAGACGGCGGGTGAATAATCCATTTTAAAAGACAGTTGGCACCACTGTCTAATCAGATCAGAAAGTTGCTATAGGAGAAAGGCACCTACTAGGGATAACTAAATTTAGGTTCATAAAAGAGTATTCCTAAGAAATATGGCTGTAAGAGAGCTTTCGGAAGAGCCTTTGAGAGCGACCATGGTTCATTCAACCATATAGGAGAGTAATCAAAGTGATACAGCAGATCGCCTGTGATCTGAACCTCACGCGTTCTCTCCTACGCTGGTCGCAGCACCTCTTTGCTACTCGTCTCTGGGGTAATAAAAAGGCTTCTTCCAGACGGATACACCTCATAATCTGGCAGCATTAACACCCCTCGATCCGCCTTCTTGAGTAACAAATGCGGGTAAATTGAACTAGCTTTGATGAGGCAAGAAGACTACCAATGTGACATTATTCTGAGTTGCGTACCTGCTAACTGATCGTTGACAAAAATTAGAAAGTTTGTGATGAAATTCTTGTAGAAAAGGAGAAGTGATTTTACTTAACACTTCCGACTTACAAGTTGAACGGATTTTTGCCAGTGCGTTTCACAATAAACTTGCATCTCATTCAACAACAACTCTTCGATAAAGGATGACTCAAACTCTCTATAATGGGAGGATAAAAAAGACCAACGCAGCATTTTTTATCTCTTCCACAGTTAATAACTGATTGTGGCAGCAGAGAATAAGGTCAACGAGTACTTGTACTGCCTGTTTTATCAAAGTCGCATTGTAGAGGTTAGTAACAATGGCATCAGATACGATGACAAAGCTACCAGGCGTCGTCGCAGTCTGTCAATTTCCAGTCTCTACCTCGTGTGAAAACCGAGTCAAGGTATCAGCTCTACCTCTCAGTGTATCTTATTACATGTCAAGGAGACAGGTGTGCTTTTTTTTCCAACGTCAAACTTATTCCAGAAGAGTACACGAAATTTCTAGGTGGGTACGCGACTAGTTCACTTGTGCACCACGCTAGAAAAAAAAAACCAAAAACACGCCTCGTCAGTCCTGAGTTTTTGGACTCTGTTGCTGAAACAAGGTATACCGTGTAGTAAGCATGTTAAGACGGTATTCTCAGTTTTGGGTGGAGACCACTGTGGGTACCCACCATGACTTTGGCTGTAATTGGGTGAAAAATTCCTAACGAGGTGAAAAGAAAAAGAGAAGTCTTTCAAATAGGCGGGATTTTAGCGATGCAAGGGCGAGAACACACCAAAATTCACGAGTTTATATGAAATCATTTTCACAATTGAACCAGTTTGAGGTTTATTTGGAATGCGGACTCCAAAAGCAGCCAGGGATTTGAGTTTAAAAACAAAGCAGTGGATTTGTTACCTCTGTACCAAAGAAGTCGGTTAAAATTAACGTCGGAAGCTTAACCACGACTCGAGAGTGCATATTGAATATCCTAAGTGTTTCTATTTGTTTTTCTGATTCCAGAGTAGCAAATTTAAATCAGTCATTTTAACAAAAAAGATAAATGTTAAAAAGCCAAGAAACGCGAATCACACCGCCATTTTTGGGTTATTTGAAGAGATCCAGATTAGATAAGTTGGCGTGCACAAGATAGACAGGTGATGCCGTGATGGGTAAAAAGGTGGATGCTTCCACAGTAAGCAAATGGAAAGATAGAAGACAACTCCAGGATAGGCGAAAGAAAGAATACAGAGAAGCGGGTGGACAAAGGAATGGACAAACTTGAGAAAATAAATGGATGAACGGGTTGGTAGATTCGAGGTGGATATTTTCAGAGCGAATGTGCAGATGAGCAAATGGACAGTTTTGAGATGGTTGGCTGGAAAAATAGATCCAGGGTGAGTGGATAAATGAGTGATTGAACTGAGGGAATCAATGGATGGAGAATTAAAGACTCGCTTCCATCACAACCAAAATTAGAAGTCATCACACGGCTTGGGAGCGGTCGATGTTCCCAAGTTGCAGATACCACTTGCCCGTAAAAAAAATCTAAAGCAAGGTTGGACGACTTTGATTTCGCCACTGGAGATTCTAACTTCTCCACAGGAATGTACTACCAGCAGTCGGCATAGGTTAATCAATCAACCTGTTTATCAGAAGCTCACTTGCATTCAATTCCAATGATTGTTACTGCTGGCAGAGCACCAGAAGTAAACACAAAAGCACACAGACTGTCAGAAGACCAATACCACGAGGCTACAGTTAGGAATAAGATTATCCCCCTTCTCCTTCTACCCATTGGGAGGAGAGGGGGAAACCAAACAAAAAGCCTCGGGGGTATGCCTGCGTGACATTCTCTCATATTCTTCTCTTCTCGTTCGCGACCGGTGCACTTGTTCAAAAAAACCCGCGCGCGCGCTCATCTATGTCTCTCATTCATTTGCTTGTTTAGTTCACTTGCTGGTCGCCCGCTCTCTCTCTTCCTGTCGGTCGTTTTTGTCGCGCGGCTATGTCAACTCTACGTGGCTAGTGCTCTTCCCGCTCTCCTGCTTGCCCGCTTCCTAACCGACTTGTCTCACAAACACCGCGAAACAGGCAGGCAAGAGGTAAGACAAAAATTACGAGGAATCAAGGCATTGAAGTAATCAGCTTTTGTTTGATTCTATCTGATGGATGAAATCTATTAATTCAATCGGTTCGGGGGTTACTAATTGGTATCGTTCATGAGAATCGGCTTGTTTTAGCTAGTCGAGAATGCGGAACAACACGGAATAGGTCATGATCAGCTACCGTTTGATTATGTAATCAAAGAGCTGACGATTTACTTACTGATTTCATCAGCTTTAGTAAAACTTGACTAAAAACTTAATTCGTTATTGATGAATGAGGGAGATGACAATGACATTAAATAGTAGTGAGGATAAGGTAAAAGTTTGATGGTACCAGAAACACATTTTTGTACCCATGCGATAACAGATAGGTAGATAGGAAGCCAACACTGAAGCTTAATGTTGGCACACATCTAAATCTAGTCAAAATGATTAGTGTAAATCAAGGAAAAGTTGAGGTAAAAATACACCTATTTGAAACAAGTTGGACAACAGTCAGCTTTTAGACAAAATCGCTCCTCATTAGAGTAGGTGAAAAATACCAGCAATTTTAAGTAGCACACACCTGGCATTAGTGACCCAGTTGTACAGGATGATTAGTGATGCAATGAAACAAGGAATCCTTGAACATAATTTTGTCTTATCGCAAGATGGTACTGAGAAGAAGTGATTGGCCTCATGGTTTCTCGATATTCACAACAAATAGCAAGAAACTCAGTGAAAAAAGGAAATAAAATTTATAATTGTAGGATTCCCCATAGATGTAAGATTAGACGTTTGGAGTGAATGAATCGCAGTTTAAATAAAAGATGAAATGGGTGTACCTATGGCACGAAGGTGAAGGCATACTTTCTAATTTGTTCGATGTTTATTTCGACAGGAAGGTAATTAAGGGATAAATAGGTGGATTGATAATTGGTTTGGTGAACGAATGGATGGATGGGTGCTAAAGAGATGGACTCAATGGCGTGTCAGCAATGAATTAATGGCTTCAAGGCGGATAAATGATTCTGTATATGGATGCATAACAGATGGATGGATAAATTTGTCAAGTTTAGATAATCAGGCGGTTAGGATGATTGATAGACGAATCAATGGTGAATATGCCAGGGAATGATGGGTCCAAACTTGGTGGATAAATCAGGTATTAACAATAAGACGGGTGGTTTGATGAATGAACAGAAACAACGAGGATGAGTGAAACATCGATAATTCGTGGATAGACGTTCCAGTTTTCCATGAATGAATGGGATGTCCCAAGCTTCAAATACTGCCTCCGGTTCCAGTGTAAAAGGTCGGATACGCCTCGTGGCTATGACATCGAAACAATTTATACTCTTCAATCATCTACGCATGCTTGCACCTATTCAAGACTACACCGGATGAAGAGAGGAAAGGTTCCATCAACAAAGCCACCACCTCCATCAAATGCGCTAGCATCAACAACAGCAGCCCAGCTCAGCTCCGTCAGTCAAACTAACAAGCCTTTGCACGCACGTACATTCAGCTGACTCACAAAGACGCTTCCCCCCTTGACTCTATTCATCAACACAGGCACATCCAGTCATGGTGAGTGAGCTAAGTTTGAATGAAAATTATTCACTTTTCATACACGCACTGGTGACTCCAAACCCTAGGTAGATCCTGAACATAGACCTTGGAGGTGTGACTCAGACTGCGGAGCACCGATTCCAATGAGATTGGAGTAAATCAACCCTTTGTTGATTTCAAGGTCGGACTGAGTAGACAGCTTTGCAGGCGGTGACTGTCTATGGAATGTGAGGCCAATGAGCAGTCGAAGCATCAACTATGAGATTAAATCTACACTGATTTCATCTACTTTTTGGAACCGTTATTTCCATCGCACAGGTGGTCCCAGTTTCCAGTGCTTCAGGCCCCTGCGCTGGTGACATGGTGCCTTATTTATGCCATGCCCCAAGCTAGTAGCCTACCGGCCCTTTTGTAAAACAATCGTAATGGCAAATCTGAGCTTATATGCATAATAACAGACAGGAGTAACGTTGAAGCGACACTTTAATAATCATAGCAACCAGCAGTCACGAGAGCGAGAGGGAAGAGCGAAAGAATCATAGCCACACGCGCGAACACAACCACCGATGGGTATCAGTGAGATGCGATTCTTTTTCAAGCTCGCGTGCGTGCATGCCCGCCCGTTTTCGCTTTTTTTTCCCCTGCGCTCCGCACTTTGAGTAATACCGCGCGCGTGTACACGCGCACTAAAGCCACCGACCAACCTACCGACAGAGAGTGGAGAGAGAGGACAAGAAAAGCAGACAGACGAGACCAGAGCGCAACGAGAGGAAAGGGGCAGTGAGACAGACAGGCGAGCGCGCAGGCACTCACTAATTGAGTAGGGTGGAACGGACGGACTGTCGGTCGGTCGGTCGGTCGGACGAACGACACGCATACACGTGCGTGTCCATGGACGCACGCACGCCCATAATCGATGTACGCGCGCGTACACGCTTCTGAAGGTCTCTATCCCCTCGATGTTGTTTTTTTTGCAACATCATCATCGTAGCTGTGGCTACGAGACTGGGTTCCTTTGGCCATACTCCTACTGGTAAACACCCATCTATCCTTTGACTGATCAATAGTATGGCTAGTGTTTTGATGCTGCCGTCTACAGTACAAACTCGTGTAGATCGCCATCGCGACTGTTTTAATCTTGTTATTGTGTACCTTTCGTTTGCTGCGTTGGTGTAGTCTGTGATTCCAGTGATATTACCAGTCAGACGGACAGAATTGGGCCTTGCTAATGCTGTTTCCAGCTGTTTTGCACGTTCCCAATATGGCTTTCCATTGCATAGCACCTTTAAAATTACCTCGGGACTACACCGATGACCCAGAGGTAGTCTGTCACTTTTAGTACTTACAGACTTGGAAGGATTAACACAACTTCAAAGGAGGTCTTTCGCCTAAGGGGAATCCATGGGATTCAAGACTGTTTGACAAGACTCAAACCGCTTCATTATCCTGCGGTTTGGCCCCTATGATGGTGCTAAAATCCTGTCTATGGAGTAACCAGAATACTACATTAGTGGGAGAAGGATTGGATAGCCTTGTGCTTCAGGTTAAACTGAAATAGACCTTCGACGAAAGAGCTAAGACTGAAGACAGTTGGCGTGGTAATCCAAGCAGATTGTAGTCAAATGAGCAGAGAGTGTCTCAAATCCGTGTTTTTGCAAAAATTAAAAGTAATCAAGCACAATGTGGAAGATCTGACTATTCTCAGCCATCTTGCGAGGCATCAATAATTATCCTATATTCCTGGTCTGTTTGTTGACGACAGTCACCAAACGATGATCTTAGTGTCGCCACAAGTGCAAATAAACAGCAAGGTGCTTGGCTTATTGAAATTTCAAAAATACTTTTGGAGTTAAACTTAAAAAGGGCGTTGAAGTATTGATAGATTGATAAAACTTTGCACATCTTGAACCCAAGCAACACTCACCTGATCCGCCGCAGTTGCTTGGCGATAGACCGCCGAAAGGTCTGCCAGCTGCCCCAACCCGATAGCTGCCGCCGCGGCCGCCTGCAGTCCTGCGGCGTAAGCATTGGAAGCGGAAGCGGCGGCGGCCGCAGCAGCAGCCGCTGCCGCTGAATTATTGATTATCCCGTCCACAGATAGTGTGGAACGTTTGGCGTGCGGTGAGCTCGCTGGCGCTCCATGCGGCACCTTGAACACTAGGTAACAAGACGGAGAGAGACGGATGAATCGATGAGAGACTGACTGGCTTTCATGTTCTTTAGCTATTTAGCTGGCAAGATGGCTTGGCCCAGCAAGTACACACGTTTACCGATATTCGGAAAGGCAGGAGGGTAGGCAGGCTCAAGGGGTGGTTAGTCCCTGAACCAGGCATTTAGGTGATCCAGTTGCAGGATAAACAAGACGGATTGGTGGTGGTGGCAGCAGCGATGGATGGAAACGAAGGTATAAACACACGTACATGGACACCCGCACACACAGATCTGGTGTGTGTGTATGCATGCATGCTTTCTGTGTGGTACAGGCAGGGAGAACTATCCTGTCTCCTTTTTCCCCTCAACGCATTTATTGATTGTGAGAAAACCTTTCCCATGTTCAAAAGTAGTATAAGCGATTTAAAATAGATTTTCCTTTTCTTATTAGATATCACTGAGACTCACTAATGGAAACAGGAGGAGAAACAGCTTATTTGCAATAAAGTAAATTAGGAAATCGGTATCCTCAAGACATCAACATTCATAGGTTTGAACGTGAGGATGTGTCATCCGATAAACACGGGTATCAAGTCAGCGTTGTAATGTAGACTTAGCGGAAACAAATACAGTCTGATGCAGTTGAATAAGTTCTTGTAAAGCCACATCATCTTGGTATTCCCGTAAACAGAAAGAACTTCAATCCGTTGAGATCTACTTTCAGGTGGAGGACGTCCTCAGATGACCAAGCAGTTGTAATCTCACAATGACGTCAAAATTCGAGGTCTTGAATCTTTTTTACCTTAATTGAGAAGCCCAACAGCTTGGGCCTTTGCAACGAAATCTACAACCCGTTGATGAGTGCTGAGTGGTCATGCCAACAAATTTGTGGGGATACGTACCCATTAAAAATTGGCAGGATTGGAGGGGCTATTTTAAAGTAGGCGACATAATCAAAGAATATGACGTTGCAATACAGATTCACCCTTGTGATAGTGAAATGGCTCGATTAAAGTGAGTCAAAAGCAGAGAGCCACCTGGCAATTCCATCCTTATTTATGAGCCTTCAGCATCCTTAAAATGCAAAGAAGCCAATTCTAAATGGCAAGGTGATTAAATGGATAAGCAGACTTGACATCAATGGTTGTCTGTTGATAGAATTTTTGCCAAAGATATGTCAAAATAATAACGCTTCTTACGATAGGCACTGTGAGAGCTGGAAAATCGGTTGGGGTATGAAGGGGAGAGAGCGTTTCCAATTCCAGGTCATTTCCAACATTTCTAAGTTCCCGAAAATATCTTCATTAACCAGGAATATTTGTTTACCGATTCACTTTGCTTGTCGGGCTGTCTGATTTTAGCAAACTCAGAGAGAAGACGTCTTTTAAAACCGATGCATTAATATGTTTCCTTTCTAAAACGCAGGAGCCAGATCGAGATGTTCTCGAGGGCGCCTTGATCTACTTGGTCTCGTCTAACTTAGTTAAAAAAAATTAAAAATAACACCGACTAAAACATGATCAAGTGGAATCCTAGATTCAGTGCTTCTCAGTAAACTACTCATTTTTAACGGGAAATTCATTATAGGGAGGGTGGCAAAATTTTATTGCAAGTCTATTGCTTCACTGGCCTCAGAAATGGATCGTTGTGGAATGGTACATGCATTCCAAACATCGATGTGGATCTCATTCAAATTAGAATTCCAACCTAGAATTCTGAAATCAAGTATTCAAATCCACTTAGGGAGTCAATTTTGGCATTTGATTATTCCTGTGTACATTCTGGACAATAGCTCACCCTACGAATAACAAAAATATTCCCATTTTGGCCAAAACGGATTAAACATCTGAAAACTCGGGAGGAAATCAATCGCCTGGTTATCCTTGACTCAAATTTTGCTTTCGGTATTCACAATTTCTTTGAGTTCAATGACCGATCTGAACCCTTTTGACATTTTCCATTCTGGATCAACAAAAACCTGAGGTAGACTGAGGCAGTCATTCTTCAACATTTTCGAATGCGGTAAGTACTCTTACCCATGCTGCATGTAACCAGGAATTTGCTAAAACAAGTTATTGTTTGGGCCTCTCCTAAGGCACTATTTCATCCTCCAACCTAAATGATTAGGATCTAAACCTACGGAAATGTCTCTGAAAGGTGAAAAGTAAAACCCGATATAATTCCTGCCTCTTCAGCAATGATGTTGATTTATTTAAGCCAACCAAATAAGACTAATATATTCAATTTTAAAAGCACCTCTGTTTCAACAACCAGTTCTCGTAATTATTCTTGAATAGAGTCAAATCAGGAGTTGGATAATGTCGTACACGTACATGCATGGCCCCCGATGCATGAGGCGGCGAGAGGTGGTGATAGGCTAAGATCTGGGCTGATCTGATCGTTTCTGACGCACATGCGCCTCCCTCACCTCCCCCCGCTATCTCTCCCGCCGTCTATATGCCCGCCTATATTTGCTGAGTCAAAGTTGACAGGCAGGGCCAGTACTGAAATTTCGACAGGGCCACTCCCTCGGGGGAAAGGGTAGGAGGACGGCAGGCGAAATGGCGAACGAGAGTAAATACCATCACATCTCGAGAACCAGCTGTCATACACTTTTGAGAGCCGAAAAATCGCCTCCTATTTCGCCTTCCTCTCCTACGCACGTATGCACGCGTCCGCTAGCTGGCTCGTCTGATGTGCGCGCACACGCACGAACGCACGCAAGCACCGACGCAAGTAGGCAAGCAAGGAACGTCAATAGAGGAACGAGAACCATGGGCGGGGCGGGATGGCGGGTTTCGGGGGTTGGAGAGGGAGAGAAAAGGTGGAGGAACAGGAGGAGGGGAACGAGCGAGCCGCCAGAGAGCGGGCTTATGCACGCTGCAGTTGATGCAAACAGAAAATTGCCTACTTGCCCACCCGCCTGCCTAACTAGCTATTTGCCTGCTTGCCCAACAAGCTAAGTAGCTTACTCCTTGGCTTACTAGTTAACCAAGCTTACATACATCAGGACACAGAAAGGGAAGATCGGAAATAATTAATGTGCGTGCGTACGGCCAAGTTCCCATACCAAATGATCGCGGCTGCGTCATAAATTACGGAGCCATCCACCTTCCTTCCCTTGTCTTCTTTGCCTTGCGGTAAACACTACTGATTTATTCCTACCAGTGTCCTATCGGTCAAGCTCATACTATGTGCGCGCATGTTGCTCGCCGACTGATTAGATAGACCAGGAACTTGGAGCGGTAGAGTGGCAAGGGGCTGATAAACAGAGAAAGTGAGGGGAATTTGTGCCAGTGACAAACGCAATTGTAGAGGTTGGAAGGGATCTATACCAGTGGCGTTCGACAAATTATGTCATGTCAGTTGACTAGAGGCGTAACGAGCTTCTAAATTAGAAAAAAAAAACAGTAGGCAGACAACCAATTAGATTAATTAGCGAAAAACAATCATCTCTAAACTGTACTCAGCCTACGCGCTCACAGGTGATTGGATCTCAACCTCCAGTGCGCTTCGATGCCCAATCAATAAACCACCATCGAAGGGGACTAAATCAGCCCCTTGCAAAGCCCAATCCATGGGTCAGCTGACTGGTTGAATACAGCCCAATGAATGTGAAGACTTGTTGATTAAAAATTACATAATTTGTTGATTGAATGTGCATCAGTCAGCACGGGTTTTAGAATGAAAAAAAAAAGACGGTAAATTCGCAAACAATCCCCTCTTTCCGCATTCAGAAATGGAGGCTTGATGAACTTCATACACCCACGCACCACACCAGACCAAACATTTTTGGGACGGGGAGAAGAGCAACAACCGGGGAAGAAGGAAGAAACCAGCTTCACTGTCGGTTAGACGTGAATGTGTGCTACTGCTGTTTCTGTCGGGAGCGCTATCTGCAACAACAACAGTGGCAGTGAGATGGGAAAACATATATAGCCGATCTGACACGGCACCACAGCTGCGCTGTTGCTGCTTTTGCTCCTGCTACTACTACAACTATCGCTGTCGCCGAATATAAGACAGGAAGAAATGATCACATGAGAGATGGGACTAAAGAGGGCAAGAGAGAAGGGAGCGAAAGAGAACTCCGAATCTCTTTTACTTTCCGCCCAATCGAAGATCAGCAATAGGTGCGCACGAGCAACCTGTCACGTGCGCATGACTCATTGATTGGACGAGACGTACGTACAAACTCACGCACGTTCGGAATACCCCATTGAGTCATTGAGACGCGGGTTTACCCATGCTCACGAGTGCATACATACTCACACAAACTTTGAATTCCTGCTGCAACCCGTTCCATCGTTTTCCAATCTCGTCTGCTCAAAACCCGTCGTTGTCTTGCTTACTTCTGCACCCTGGTGACAGGATTTAACACATCCTATTTACGAATAGTTGATAGAACGAAGACATGATGGAAAAGTTGATACCAGATTAAGGGGGACCAAAGAGGGAACGGGCATGGCTACAAACGTGTAGCATCGCTAGGATGGTATAGCACCAGCATCGACAACAAAACCGTGAGTCACACGTGCGTACACACACAAACGTACAGACGCAGGATGACTAACTATCTGACTGGTTGGCTGAATTGGGTGACTCCAGCGACGACGACGACGGCGACATGATTCAGGACCAGTACGCACGGTGTACGAGGCAGCTGACTAGGTGGCTGATTTGCTACTAGTAGCTTGGATGTGAGTGCAAAGGCATATGCCTCTACATTATTGTCAAAACCCTCGTAGCCGCCTTTAAATGTAGAGGTGGGGTGGGGGTGGGGGTGGAAAGGGGAACGTTTCAAGCTCCTTGTTGACAAGCCTGTACCTCTCAATGGAGGGTGACTAAACCCCACTTCTTATCATTAGTCAAACGCAAATCTACATGGGAAATGTCAATCCTTTCGCGCACCTACTGCGAAGTTTGTCGCACTTATGATCAACGCCAAACCTATCGACCGATCAGATGTGACCTTGGGTTAATTTAAGGAACACCGGTCGATTGATCAGCTGTCCAGAACATGGATTGGAACAGCTGTGATTGGTTAGAATCGATATTGACAAAGTTTATTCCCCCCACCCCCCAAATGCTTTTTCTCTCAACAATGGGAACAACAAAAGCAGCTTTGGGACGATTCCTTAGGTTGTTGCCGCCACGTGTGGTAGTGCAACTGTAGCAGCAGAAGTACAAACACAAATAACGGTCGTCATGGTATTTCCATAGCCAATGAAAAGTGCCCATTTGTCAAAAAGACAATCTAGGTGGATGTGTGTGTGTGCATTTTAGGCATACGGAAGAAATAGCTGCTTAACTCTCGGCCACGAATTGGGATGTAATTGATCACTATTAAAACGATCTTCGCTAATACCACTACCGCTAGTGATGACCGAAATGGGATATCACGTCAGCGTCTGCACAGGCGCAAGGAGGCTGATAACCCTTTATTGAATCAGGGGAGGTCTAGGTAGATGCCAAAAGGAAACTTGGTATTGCAGCAGCCATTAACTTGAGAGGGAGATAACAATAATAGAATGCCTCACTCACTCAACTCTGACGAACTGGGGAACTAATTTATCTGCAACGGTGTGCTTTGAAGTCAAGTTACGTAAGCAGCAACAAGGCCCGCAAACACATTAAATCCCTTACAGAGGTGAGAATTATCTCACCTCCGAGGGGCACACACACACGCATTTGTCAAACTTGAGTGTATGCTAATTCACACCTGTCACGGCGGCGCAATTGAGACGCGAACGCAGGCGAGTGGATACGAAGAGGGGGGTTTTTTGGCCAAAAAGGCAGCACCATTGTCAGACAATTTTAAGCAATTAATACAACGCAAAAGCAGCTGATTGGTGAGCGATTTCCATCATACCCAATCATGAGACGATTGACAAGTAATAAAGATGACCAGCTATTACTGACCGGCAGTTGGCTATCAATCCTGCAGACTTGGTTAGGCACCGACCACCGGTAGACTCGGTCCGTTCCTAATCACTAACCAGTCGAAGAATGCCAAACAGCCAAATTGATCAACTTTGATGCAAAGATGGCAACTCAGATGTCCGAAACAGTTTAATGGAGATCAATTGGTTGGTTAGCCAATACAGAATCTTATTTGACCATGAATCAGGCATAAATGCCATTTATTCGTAATTATTTCTATTAATAGGCACGGGTCCAGATAACGTCTGATTGAACTACTCTAAACCGAAAAGAATAGCAACCATACATAAATGTGGTTAAGAGGCCGATATTTCAGACAAGACTCGAGCTCATTTCTTCAAGCCTGTTGAATCACGGCTGCGCAACAGCTACCGAATTAACTGGATATTAATATTTGGCGGTCTAATAGCGGTCATGCAGCCTTATGGGCAAAGAGCTCCGATGCAATCCTAATTTAATGCTGCATGCAAGTGTTTTAATAACGCATATGGATGAAGCTTCTGCCTCAAAAAATAGGAGACAGGTGCCCACATCCATTGCCTGACAGTTATTAGAGATCAAAGATTGTTCATTGATGACAGCTAACGCCTCGTCCACAAGGGATGAGCCGTTTAATTCTGATGCTAAAGGGTGTAGCTAAGAGTTCAGAATTCTTATTTGTCGTGTAAAGAGGAAAGGAGATGAAACGCATTTGATTGTATCTATGATGCTTCAATGCAGGTGCTGGTGTGTTTTAACTTATCTTGCGTTTGATTTCCCAGAAAAACGAGGCGAAGTGTAACAATATCAAAAGCAATGACCCGAATTCTCGGACGCACGCAAACGGAATCACACAATTTAGGGCGGAGGGCTCTCTTAAAAACGAATCGTAATGACCTCACTTAGGCGAATGAGTAGACACGCTTGGGAAACCGATGAGCGAAGAAGAAGGTTTTCTCTCTTGCCTACCTGCCTTACTGTCTCCCTTTTCGCATAGCAGTAGGAGTAAAAGAGAGATGGAGAAAAAAACGATCACTGCCGATAGCAACTCAAAGCCAGCCAGAGCTAGCTTGCTGGCTAGCCAGCCAACAAACTAACCGACCGACCGACTATCCAACCGACCAACCAACCAGTCTAGTTGGCGTTCGTGCACATGCGCGCACCGCGGCATTCTGACGCGTCCATCCCGCCGCCACCACCACCATCAGCAGTAGCAGAGGCAGCACAAGCGCTCCCTACTCAAACGTATCGCAGCAGAGGCACGCACTCGCGTACGCAACGTGGAGAGAACAGGAAAGATGATGCTAATGATGTTGCTGCTTCTGGCAGTGCAGTGGTGACGGTGGCGTAACGAAACAAACAAAAGTGCTCCCCTGACTTGGCTAGCTAAGGGAACAAAGTGGATCACTCCCTCTCATTCTCTGCCTCCTTAGCCTACAAAAGCCTCTTTTAGACTAAAAGCATTTTAGAGCTGTGTTTGAAGGTTGTTTATAGTGGTGTCGGTTCTGCTGTTGATTCTAGGTAAGCTTTACAACTAGACGGACCTTTCCAACATCCCGAGATTCGTTCTCCCAGGCAACAAATTAGCTACCTATCACACTCGTAAGCTTTACAACGTCATAAATGGGTAATTTATGTGCTATCCTGACAATCTAACTCCAAAAAGACTGCCTGAATGCCGCTTGAAAGATGGCGTAGAATGAAGACACATGTTCTGGATTGCTCAATTCACAAAGACTTCTGGATTCTGCAAGACTTTTAGTCCCAAGTGCTTTGATTCGTACATCAAAGTCGATATAAACGCTGTCCTTCAGACCTGAGCACGCCGTGAAGTCTCTCTTGGCCCACAACACCTATTGAAGGCACTATCTCATCCCCTTGGGAATAAAAAACCGGCGGTAGTTATTATAACACACGAGAAATGCAAAAAAGCTTGTAAATTCACACCGGGGAGCTGTCAATCACCCAATCAGGGAGGTTGTTCGTTTGCATAAGGTACGAGTGAGCGAGCGGTTGCAAGACTAAACAACTTTTCGCAATACTGCTTAAAACGATGCAGGATAACAACCTAGCATCACGTCCACCACCACAAGAAGGCCAAACACGAGAGGCAAACATCCTGTGTGCATGTTTGTGCTGGTGTCTTTGAGTGACAGCTTCTATTAGCCTGTGTTTACAAAGAGAACCGAACCCAATTAAACGAATGTGTATCGCAGAGAGCGACAGCGTGAGATGAGACCACATAGCCTTAGTAGAATCAAGAAGGCGAAGGAGGGGAGTTCCTATTTAACAAATTAGCAACAACCTTTCCCTTGGACAAACGATTTATTGCCTCCCTTCAATGGGCATAAAGGGGCAACAGCTGACACCGACGGTGATGACTGCAAATGGATGAACCCGCCTATACATGAGGGCTTGCTTTCAATCACCACCTCGTTGAAAAACAACACGAAGGATTTCGTGCGATCCTAGGACGCCACAATGCGAAAACGTTGAATGACAGCACGTTGGCGGAGAAGCAGTAGATGTGAATATCTTGACCTTCTTTTAAATCTAATCTAGGTAATCTATCGCTATGCCTTATTTGGGGAGTATGGCAACTCCGTTAAGCACTACAGTTTGTTCAGCACAGCCAAATCAGATGGACTATGACGCTGTCTTATTTTATAGCCTTGATGTAAAAATTGCCAAGCAGACGGTGGGCTTTCTTTTCTTTTTGCTACAGTCGAGAGAAACGGTGTTTTTACTATAAGTGGCGAAAATCAGAACTACAAACAGCTACTGTGTGTTTTGCTAGCACACACGCACGCATAAACACAATGGTAAAATGAAACAAAAGTAAGCGTGGGGATAGAGAGAGCTAGTTTTGTGCATGATGCAGACACACTGTGTCTCCAATGTATCCGAGAGGGAGAATTTTTTAGCATACAAACATGAAACCAATTGATTTGGATGCGGGGCCTTTTGGATGAAGAGGAGGAAAAGTAAACAAGCGCCACTGAGACCGTTTCGTGTCCAGTGCGTGAGCGAGAGAGCGCGCAGGTGCCTCCGCGCGAGCGTTACCCTCTCTCTCACTCCCTTCCTCACTCAACATCAGAAAAATAGGCAAAAGCACAGGCAGCCAGCTTCTGAGCTTCGCCCTCCCCTCCCACCGCTCATACACGCACACGCGCAGGCGCGTGCACAGGGGGTGAACGGAGGGGGGATAGGGTGGAGAGGAGGGTAGGCAGGTAAGTATGGGTAGCGCAGAGGGGAAAAAGGAAGAGGTAAGGCTTAAAACACGACACACAAGCGAACTTACGCGAGGCGCCATGTTCGATGAAATTGAAGTCGAAGGGAGTCTGAAAAAGATCAAGGGAGGTCGAAATTAGAGGGATGGGGCCTTGATATCACAGGACCTTTACAAGACACAAAAAAGAGGATAAATACCAGTCTTATGGGCAAAACGGTGTGTGTAAACGCAGTTGATGGCTCTCTGAACTTTTGCCCTCCTTCAAGTCAGCTGATCAAAACAGATGGCTTGAATCGATTGACAAAAAATCGATACTTTGTGGCAAAGCGCCCCTTTTAAACGGAAAAGTGTAACACCATGAGCTTTAAATAGCCAAATTGACACATTTGACAGCCGGTTGCTCCTATAGATATTCAGAATAAAAAGGTGTAATATCCGACACGGAGAAAGCAGGTGCTTCGAGCTGCTTGATGCATGGGAAAAAGGCATTTTACAATTGAATAAAATTAGCCTTTAGGCTGTAGACTTAAACTTTTCCTAAACTCGACTTTGCTGACTAGATTGCACATGAAAAGCATGGCGCGCTTAAAGTTCAATTTAGATTGATAAAATGTCTTAAAGTGCATATTTTGGACCTAATACAACTGTTTACGCGGGACAGTTTGAATACTTGTGTAAAAGCAAGTTATTTTAAACCTTTTCAGTAATCAAATTGTCTAATTCCTGATAATCAAGGTACCGCCTTTATTTCATGACTAGCAAGGCGCACACCAAAGTTGACTATTAAGGCAGGATTGCTTATCCATCATAAATCATAATTCCAAACCAAAAAATTTTATGTCTTTTCCCAAGATACCTAGGTATGAGTTGAGTTTATGCCAAGGAAATATTCCACGATGCAGTTATGCTGATGCCGCCACCTCTTAGAACAAAAGTCGCAGTTTCCCTAGCTCAAATTGAAAACTTACGGCGTTTAAAGTTACATGCTTTGGGCTCCAGTTGACTTTAGCTGCTTTGTTTTTTTGCCAGTAACTTCAGTCACAGAAATGAAGAAGACAGTTACAAATTCTGAGATTTTAAATTAAATATATACTCAGAACACAAATACACTAAACAGCGTCAACGACCAGTAGTGGGAACAAAACCCTCTGACTTAGGTAGCCCAAAGTAAGGGTGCCCAAAGATTTCATTTGTCAAATTCAACGGGACTCGGAAAAGGACGTAGGAAAAGAGGGATGAAGTTGGCTGTGCTTCAAAAAAATGTCTGTGGAAAAGATCGACTAAACAATGTCGCTGATGCCACACAAGAAGCGCCAAATTCAAATGCATAAACTTGACGATATACTTCTGTTGTTCATAGGCCGTTGTTATGGGCTTAGTAAACATTTGATATACTTGGAGGGGAAATAAACTCTTTAGTACCATCTCAGGCAAATTTCGATGAAACGTCGCAGTGTAAAAAGGTTACACCCTTGCATTTCAGATATCACAAAGTTCCAAAATGTTTTTGTTTTTATGGCTGCTTGGATCTGACTGTCAAGCTTGGGTACAATACTGCTGCCTTGCAAAGTGAGCCAGCGCACGTCAACATAAGTTTGACTCTGTTAACTGCAGCTAACCTTTTCAATTTTTCATCATTCAGGCACTACGATGGTAAAATAAAACCTTGCTCAAACTACTACCTATGCTACTTGTCTCCTAGCATTTTTGTAAGACAAAAATAATTCTTTTTCTGAAATCATACAATTCACAATGCCTTTAAGGATAACTCGAGGATCAGCTTAACTATCAAGTTGAAACCATCGATGTTTATTGCACCCACCGATAGAGATATTTTGAATAAAAACTCTTCTCACACCATCTGATGTGCCGTGTTTGAACTCCTGTAAGTTTTAGATTGAACCAGTCCTAGACCCGTAGGTTAAACAAATGTCTTCTGAGATCAATGCAAACCGTAGAGGATCACAAGGTTGGCAAAATTCTAAGAAACTAAAGGAAGCATGGAGTGCACATAAAAATTCATCACTGCAAAACAAACTCAACCCATCTGGGAATGAGAAGAGGAAGGAAAGAGAGGAAAGGAAGAGGACGGGAAAGGTACGTAATTTTGACGCTGCGGAAACGACTTTGTGTATACTTGTTTCCTCCCGCTCTCAGTCTAATTTGCACCCACTCTTGCCTGCATTGAATGAATATTGCATTGGACCAAACAAACTCTTTAGTGCTGTACCAAAACAACCCATCTATGGTGGAAACTTCCTGCGTTTCCAGTGACTGACATAAAGCAAACGACGTGCTGTAGCAGAGAGACCGTTCACAGTCTGAGAAAAAAGTTGGTAAAGTGACGCTTTTAAAGGCCAAATATAGGTGAAAGTAGCTAAATGGAATAAAATACACAAGTAGGATAGTACGGAGATAAAGGCTATACATAAAATACATAAACAGATATAGATGAAAACTTAAAAATAAGAGAAGAGTTCTGGCAACCATTGAAACTTATTCAGTAATATTAAGTCGTATAACTTGTAAATGGAGTGCAAATAGGAGCTAATTTTAAAGATGCAGCCAAAAAAGAAGAGCAAAATTAATCTGATGTTTACTAAACTAATGAAACAGCCGTGGTGCAGTTATTATATTAAAAGTCAAAAATTACTAAGGTTGAAAGTATAGTTTGTCTGAAACAAAAGGTCCTTTACAAGTACACCAATAAAGCCTTTGCAGCAATACTTTGACAGCCAAAAAAAGTTGCAAACAATATCAAAAACCGGAAAAGTGCCTTTACATATAGCTTAAAGGATTTTTAAAAAATTCACAACAAAAACATAAATGGAATCAGCAACAAAGACAAGTCATCAATGAAATATGTACGGAAGAAACAAAAGTGCATGCTTCAGGCTTCTGACGCTCAAGAAATAAAGTTACATCTTAAAAAGCAATCTAGGCAAAAATAATCCTTAGAATCAAAATGCAGAGAGCAGCAACAAGTATTAATGAAAGGAGGCTTAAAAACAAATCATAAGTAACGTAAACAACCCAAGACAATTAAGCACAAATATTGCATATAATAATCAAGGCAGCTAAGTAATTTGCAAATTTCTTATGCTAAATCACTAAAACAAAAGAAAAATTTTAGTTAAAATTATTTTTTGTTCAGTTGCAGCTTTTATCAACCTAATAAAGCTGTATAAGTATTAAAAGCCGGTTATATTCACAAATAGAGGAAAGGCAACATACGTGTCCTTCACCCTCGATAACTAAGCCGACTTTATCCTCAGTTAAATTTTCGGACGATTTTTTTTGCTCCTCTTCTTCGCCCTCATCTTTGTATACTTTTAATTCGTCCGTACAGGCACTTTCGTCTCCTGTCGAGTTCATATGCGACATAGCCTCCGTGTCACACTACGCGCAAAGCATGCTCAAGGTGAACTTAGCTTCCATAACGATTACCTTGAAAAAGTTAGCAAAATTAAAAATATTTTTTTGAATATTTATATGCTTAAAACTAAAAAAAATTTAAGCAGGGCAATAAAATTTTATTTTATTATACTGGACGCGCGCTTGACGCGCATTTTTTGGGTGGGTGAAAGATGGCGGTGAGCAGCGATGTGTCGGCAGATATAAGTAAAATAGAGCTTGATATACTTGGCATTAAACAGCAAATTGACCAATTTGAGGAAATTCTCAAGAGCGCCGAATCCGGTTACACATCGGTGTCTTCCCTCAACGAGAAGTACCATGCTATAATTCTCTCCACCAAGGATCTTTCTCAACACTTGAAGGCGCTTCGAGAGTAACCATTGTTCATTTGTTTCTTTGTTCTCGCGATTTATTGGTGCCGATTTTAAAACTTTTAATGGTCTACGTAATAGCCTGTCGTCAGGATGTTTGTCCCGCAACCCTGATGAAAATTACTTGGTTTACTGACTTTTAATTACATCAAGGGTAGAAGTGCTGTTTGACTGCTTGGGTTTTCTGTTTACTTTCATCTTAGGGTCTCCTACGCTCCCGGTGTTAGTGATGAGGTGCGGGCCCGAGCGCGTAACCTACACGAGCAGGCGATAAATCAGACTACCCGGATCCAACGCATTGGTCGGGAGACGCAGCGAATTTCCTCTGCTCTTTCTCGCTCCGCTGCCGCTGCTTCTCAAGGCTCTACTGGTGCCATTCTCGACCTTAAGGGTGAGTTCCTTCATCATCTGATGTCTTTCGATCTTCCAGTGTGCTCTGATTTTCATGCCTATTTTCAATGTTAATTGTATCTGGAGCAAAGTTACCGTGTATTTTACTAAACAACTACAGAGGCGTGGTATGCCGCATCATTCTGAGGTTAATTTGTTTGCATCAGTGGTTTCTCTTCATCTTCTTTTGAGCGACATTTTCGGAGTGGGAACAGAGGCGATATGGCGAATTTATCAACACAAAGCAGCAGTCAGACCTTATTTGGCGAAAGCCGGTCACTTGATGTACAGTGGATGCGGGCGAATATGCTTCTGTGTCGGCGTGTGTGCTGTGTTCATGCGTTGCGAACCCATTGACTCTGTTGTGTGATTTTCATTTCTTCCACGTGATGCGGTTGCATGAGTGCTGAATAGGTGATTCTACCGTCTTCTTTGAATTGAAACAGAGTGGCGTTGTTTTTTGGGAATGTAATTCCAGAGCCTGAAATTGAATGGCATGCGTGATTATTGAGTCACCATATCATTACACCATCGTTAGATAGTTTTACTGACTTGAATTTACCGGGATTTAAATAGCCTGGCGTATTTTAATTGCCACTTTTAAAAAGTGTAAAATTCGGTCCAGTCATCAAATCGGTACTTAGAAATAACAACACCCTTGCTGATTAGGCCAATCTGGTTCTACAGTTATCATTCGTATGACAAATCAACGTCATTGAAGCAGATTTAGTAAATATTGTTAATTTGAAGAGTTCTGTGCTACACCGCCTTTTTAGGTGATGGCGCAGGTGGAATGCAGCAGATGATGCAGATGCAGGAGGACGAGCAGATGGCGCGTGAGATGGAAGCCCTGGAAGCGGATATCGTATTGGTCAATGAGCTTTTTACTACCTTAGCAACCTACGTTCACGACCAGGGCGAAATTGTTGACTCAATTGAAGCCAATACTGAGACCGCCTATGTTCAGGTACCGTGGGATGGGAGGACTACGGGACCACGCCTACTTATTTAGTCTTTCAGTAGCAACGATTCTATTTCCTCCTCTGTTTCAGGTGCAATCGGGTGTGCAGCAGTTGCAGACAGCGGTGCAGCATCGGAAATCGGCGCGTCGTCGAAAATGCATGTGTATCCTCGTCCTCCTGGTTGCCATAGTCATCATTGGCCTAGTTATCGGGTTAAGTTTGAGGGACAAAGGTTGAGCGCTTTAACGTTCTTGTTTTTGTTTCTTTTTTCATCACTGAACCACCAAATTGACTGAGATTTATCCCAGCCTCCTTCTACCTTCCACTGAATGCCTCCCATTCGGCTGTTTGTCTCATCTCCTCCTTTTTTTCATTTCCATTGGAAATTAGGAAGAAATGTCATAATGTATTTGAAAGATAAAACCATATTTTATACGTAATGTTAGGGAAATGTTTCTTTTTTGTCGGGATCCTCTGGTGGTAAAGAACTTTGGACCCTTCTTACGATTAGGAGGCAGACGTGCCAGAGGGTGGGCCCATTGTAAACGCACGGAAGGAATGGGATGCTGTTGGCACAGGAAGAGCTCAGTTCCAACAGCGTGGAGATCGGGTAACGTGAGGCCGCAGTCTGTTCAATGCCAACTACGTAGTCACCTTGTCCTTAGCCCTGTCCTCAATGCTTCCTGCACAACGATCAGCTTCCACGACTGGAAGGACGTCGGTGGCGATCCAGGCACCACGTTCCAAGTTGGGTAAGCTGCGACGGGGAAGTAGTAGTGCGAACTGGACGATGATCCACTGCGAGTGCATTATTCACGGTGGTCACACTTTAAAGGAATATTTGCTTAAAAGCGTGTCAGGAGTATCACAATCACTAGCAGATTGCCGCATCAATACTGTAAAGCATTCCCGAGGGTCGGTCTCTGCTTTCCTGGTTATCAACGCAGCTTTGATGGCTCCGGTTGAGAGCCTGGAGGCAAAGCGGCGGCAAAAGGCGAGGTCGTCTTGCATTCAGCGACTTCATTCATCCTACTGACGCTATAAAGTCCAGATGGCAGAAGGTTTCTCAATACATTCAAGACGTGAAATGGCTGGAAGGTCGGTTGAGTGATTAGGACCCAATGCCACTGTCATGGAGGCGTAAAGAAAGTGTGCTGGCACAAGCCCCATCGTAGGCTTTGGGTCGTTAGCTCTCTGACACGATGCCTGCCTTCTTTGGCACATTTTTATCAAAAAAGAACATTTTTTGTCAAAGAACCTTATATAAACAGAAATCCACGAATACGCGGAGATATACATCTGTGGATGGGAGCTGTACAAACGAACGGGGAGATTGAAGTTACTGACCGGCTATTTTCACTTTTTGCGACGAATCCTCTTGGCCAAGCTCTTTGAAATATGTGTTATCCCACTGGATTTGCCTATTTTCTTCCTAAAATGGGAGAAGAAACCATCATCAAAGCACCCTCCTTACCCCTTGCTGTGACGCAGGGCCTTTCGACGTCTTCGCTTGTTCTTGGCGTGTCTTCCCAACTGCCTCTCCAGTGTAGTCTTCTTGAAGCGCTCCTGTGCATCACCAAAGGATAAAAGCGGTTAGTTTTTTTCCGCTTTTGTTTAATTAGAGAATGAAATTGAGTGACACTTGAACAAGCAGATGACTGGCATTTAACCGGCGATAGATGATTTAGATTCTTTTCGAGGGACAAAAATATATTCAAGGACGGAGCAGCCGGCACAAAATATGGTGAAGCCTTACCTGAACAGCGTAACGTTTTGTACTTAAGTAGAATATATACAATAAAGTTGTTTTAGTTTTGACACATCATCACTTTCAAATGGAAAACTCGCATAAAACACCTGAAAAGCCTGGAAGGAGTTGATATTGGCCCCGCTGTAAGTTCAACTACTTCAAAAGAAAGTCAAAAGGCACGGGATCTACGATTCCATACTACCCAAGGCAAAGTTTAAGTGGAAGAAGAGGACGTGAAGAACAGTGTACATTCTTGTAGTCAGTGAGAGCATTCTGCCGTTCGCGTTTTCGAGTCTCCATCAGAAGGCGGTAGTTGACGGCGGTGCCCTTAGGCGGTTTGGCGCCCATTTTCAGCAGCAACTCGCGCCGCGCCTGGCGTCGCTCCGCCACACCCAAATTGGTCGCGCTTGCCCGCTGTCGAAGCAGGTCAAAGGAGAGGTCGCGAACACTCACGTAGTAACTCTCTTCCTCCTCGACTTCATTGCCCTCATTCCCTTTTTTTTGAGGCATCTAGATGGAGAAGGGTAATATGACACGGGGCAGAAAACTCCTCCTTGCGTGATAAGGAATGCAGAAAATCATAGATTGAAAGGTGGATTCCAAGTAAATGGATGAGTGAACAAAGGGCTCGTGGGTGGGTGGATGAGTATTACAATGAGGGAGCTAGAATAGGCAGGTCTAGGACGGGTGAATGGATGCATAAAGTAGGAAAGTGTGGTTGACCTTAGAAGCATGCGTAGTAATGTCGTCATAACGCCTGTTCTCGTCTAAACACATGGTTCTACTTAGCCTTTCATCATAAATAAAAGTCCAGTTGGGACTGATGTATCTGCAGAAATGTAAGAGATAAGCAGTGGAGAGCCCGAGAAAAGATGGGTGGGTGGATGGAGGGAAAGGGACGAATCTCAAACTAACGAGGTGGAGGCAGGTGAAACAGGGATGACTGTTGTGGGCGGGGCAGTAGATGGCTGGGTCAATAATTTGCGAGTAGCCAAACTGAACCAGGGATGGCAGGGTAGGAGATAGACAGATGAGTGGATTGGTTGTTACGACAGGATGGATTGAGAAGGCCGAATGCGAAGAGGTGGGTCAGAAATGGATCAAGAAGTACGGAAGGGATGGGCAGAAACATAATTGATGGGTAAATCGAAAATTGGCGGGGAGGACAAGCTTGACTGGGTGTGTGTGGATAAGCAAAGGATATGATCGAGGACTGGTAGATCGAATGACGGATAGACAAATTAAGTGCAGAAAAATTAGCAGCAGAATATGAAGGACGAAGAATATTCGTGAATTGAAACCACGAGAAAATGAGGACCTCCTCTATTTCCTTTCGATATTTTGAGGTGAACAAATACAAATATGCACTATTATAAGATAAAAAAAACAGAGGTTGGCCTCAATATTTCCTTCAGATTAGAACCTACATTGAATGCAATGGGGTCAGATCGATCTCATTATCCTCCTAACCCATCGGCCCTTAGATTACGGCTTACATGAAATATGCAGTCCACTGGGGACATTTACTCAAAAAACATTCTTAAAATCCCAGAGTTAACTGAAATACTGGGCGATAATTGTAAGGACGGAGGCCCACGACAACGACGAAAGAATAAGAAACAAATGTTAGCGAAAAGGAATGAGCACATGAAGTCGAGGGGCAAAAAAATCAGCCCGGAACAGTCTCAAGGCTAAGATACGGATGTAATGGAAGACATGACAAAACAGGCACTTACCAAGCAAAGAGGATGCTATGCAATATCACACCCACTAGCTAACGGCCAATTCACGCCAGGAGTAGGCACCCAAGCCCCGCGGGTTATATTGCTACTCGTTTATATAAACCATTTTATTCTAAAACTATCACATATGGCTTTAAAAGCCTCAAGACGTTAGAAACAAATGGCTGTTTTTAAATTCAGTAACATTAAAACTCCAAATTGATCTCCTAAAAAAAGGAACAAGCGAAGTACCTTGCTAGGTTTTCGACTAAAAGGTAGCAAAGAGACTAAAATTTAGGCAAGATATCAGGAGAGCCTTTTTAAAGGCTACGACTTGCTTAAAACCGCATGACGAATTCCTGTTCTGATATATTAAATAAATTTGGGGCAATAAAATTTCACCTGATCATTTGCTGCATTCAAACATTTTCCTGTATAATTCTGATGTTAGTTCATCTTATTTTAAGCAAACCCCACTTCTGATGCAATATTCGTTTTAACGTATCGCTTAAGATTACGTTTTTGGTTGGACCTATATTAAATCCTAACTCCTTGGAACATGCTGAAAGCCTGTCTTCTAGTCCTTTGGCTGTTCACATGTAACAAATTCACAAACTCCATAGGTTTTGTTTTTTTGATTGTTTAAAGCATCTTAGAGGTAAACGGAATTTCTGCTATTCGCTTTGCTCCTCGCAGTGGCCTTTTTCCCCATGGCCGGGATGGAGTTATTGAAGTGAAATTCCTTGGTACATGGTCGTCAATTTGTAACTTTGGCTTTGATTACAAAGCCGCATCAACCGCTTGCTTCATGATGGGATAGTAAGTCTGCTTGAACCCATTCAACGTTTTAGTCCTCCGTACGGTGTTCCGATATTAAATAGTCATAGAACCAGTTCATACCCCACGCGAATTTCGAGTTTCAACTGCACTGGTCGAGTTACACTTGGACCTAACCCTCCCGAGCCCTTGTCTGTTCATCTCGGTTACTGTGAGTACGCTACTGTCGTCCCATCCCCCTGTCATGACCATAAACGTGATGTTGCAATAGCGTGTTTGGAACCGATGAAACTGGGGAACTTCAATGCACCGCCACCGGTCACCTTTGCTCCTGTAAGCTGTAAGTTTTAGTTACTGATATTTACCAATGCAAAGTACTTTTGACTGGATTGACCTGCTGACATTATAATGAATATGAGTATGGAAGTCGTTTTATTAATGGCCTGCAGAAGAACTTGTAGATTAGTAACATAGACAGTATCACAAACATAGCTTAAAACCACTAAAAGAAAATCCAACTTATAGGAGCTTGAAGACATTGTGCATAATTTTGCAGAATAATAAATGCAATGTCATCTTGTTATTTGGCTCCTCTCGCATTGAGCATCTTCTTCAACGATGACATTGACTACTCCTGAGACTGTTTTTTAACTATAAGTGCAGCAATAAATTTAGATGACTTTGAACAGATTCCCTAAAACATCAGTTACGGGGAAACTGTATGGACTAAACCTGAATAGAAAGCTGGATCATATTTTCCCTTGAACATGTTCCGTACAAGGCTCATAGTTTATTATAGCAGCCTTTTTAACACAAAACCACCTTGGCGAATTTGATAATGTAAGCTAATTTCATAATATTTTACTCCGACTCAAGTCCTCAGATGTGCCACCCCTACCACAGATTCTTTATTTTGGCCCATTTTGATTGTGCCATTTACACGGCATGAACCAAGGCTCTTGTCATAATCGTAGTTCGACACGGACGCTAAAATTAACATGTGATTGACAGAATTGAATGTTTTATCGTACTTATGCAGGTCCCAATAATTCAAGTGAGGTTCGTTTAACTCACGGCGGTGAAAAATCGGGTCGACTTGAAGTGAAACATTTAAAGTCGGGTATTTGGGGTACCGTATGTGCAGACGGATTTGGGACGAACGAGGCCAAGGCAGTGTGTCGGATGCTCTGTTCTAGCAGGTAATGCTACCAACGCTGAATAATTGTGTCCTTGCAAAACCATTAAATCTTATCCACACAGCGGCTTCTTCAAGTAACCCTTTTTTAAAAAAGAGTACTAGTATCAGATGACTGAGATGTTTGAATGAACGAGAAGGTGACTAGGCGTTAGACGTACCGTATATAAGCATAGATGGTGGGAGATGTTTTCCTTCTCTCCTTCAATCAATTTTTACAACTGCTACAGATTCCTTTACCTAATTTTCACAAAATATTTTATTCAGTTTCCCATCCACTAATATATTAAGCCTTATATACATTTCTGATGCCACAATCCGTCCATTCAGTGGCTCCTGGTGCGTCTTCTCTGAATTCATTCATTTAGAATTGTTTAATTCAATAGGATCGGCTTGCCTCGCACCTTATTTTTTCTTCCATGACTGATTTACTTGCCGGAATCATATTTATTTCCTTTTTACTTCCGTGTTTCCTGTCCGTAGTGACGATCTAGCCTACGCACATGCCGTCATCAATGTCTTTGGCGGAATGAGTAGAGAAGAGGTGTTAGGAGCTGAAACTGGGGAGGAGGAGTTACCGATTCACTTGGCACGAATCGCCTGTCCGGTGAGTGCGCAATCTCTTAACGACTGCGCTCTTGGCGACGGTTGGGGATCGACGCAAGGATGCACCCACGCTCTTGATGTTGGGGTTATTTGCGGTCCCGAGGCGCCACTCACTCCTCTTCGAATGCGTATGTTGAGAGGAATGGATGCTCCTTTCCCTTATTTTTATAGCCTAATCTTTATATTGTGTATATTCATGATGCAAAAATGTTTATTTGATTTCCGTTCTTGATTCACCTATCTCATGGCCTAGTCGAGCGTCCACCTCAGATCCACAAATCCTGGTAAATCCCTGACAAAACTTATATTCAACAGCACATAAATCAACGACTCCTTATTCCTTATTTATCCATTCATCCATCCTGTATCCATCCATCCATTCTGTGTCTATGCATCCATTTTGTCTTGTATTCATTCATCCATCCATCCTTTATCCATCCATCCATCCTATATCAATTTTGTATCCATCTATCCTATATCCATCCATCCACCCATCCTGTATTCATTCATCCATCCTTTATCCATCCATTTATCCTTTATCCATCCATCCATCCATCCATTTTCTATCCATCCATCCACCCATCTATCCTGTATCCATCAATCCATTCTTTTTGTATCCGTCCATTCATCCATCCTATATCCATCCTTCCACTTATCCTTTTATTCATCTTTTCCCCTATCAACCCATTCATCCATAAGGGAAGAAAATGCTTAAAGTTCCTGTTTGGTAAAAGAAAATATTCACAATACCTAAGTAATTTTTTCTTGAAGGAGCTTTACTTCTTTTTTTAACAGATTTCGGATGTTTCTAGGAGCCTGCTTGTTTTAAATTTACCTGAGTAACAGGTATTTTAGCCTTATCTTATCGCAGTATAACCCTTCGCCAGTTGGTCTGTACTCCTCGCAGACGGTAAAACGTGACGACTTTGTGGGCGCGTTTCAAATTTACTTAGCACAGACCGATTTAAACGAAATTGGTCCGTGTTTTGACATGAGAAGGTACTCTAGACATGCTGATCGATAGGCGACTTTTGTCTCTCCGTGATATGGTTCATTTTTTTCTTAATTAAAGCCCCCACGATCAGCGTCACATATATGTGACGCTCCGGTTTGCGCACCTAAGTCGTTATTGTCACACATATGTTCAACGTCCGTGCATAGGAGATGACTTATTCCACCGAATCATTCCTTAAGCAAATTTCTTGAATTCGAAGTGCAAGAGCGTTTTTTGCTGTGCTAGTTGATCTTCCGCTGAGGTCATCGTAGCCAATGCCCTTTAGGTTCTGGGATCCCATGGAACTGTCCACCTGAGGAATGGATGGAGACAAACTTCAAAATATGAAGCGATGGTTGGTTTTCCTGTCCAACTGCCGAATCCAAAATGGATGGATGGTAAAGGAATGGCTGGATGGACAACTAGATGGATTGGGATGGAAGAATGAATGTGAGCGCATGCAAGGTGGAGGAACAAATCCTCGACTTGGTGGATGACGAATTGAATTGTGATTAGACGGGCGGATTTTCACGGGATAGATAAATGGATAAACGACGGACAGATAGTTAACCGGAAGGTACACTAAAAGCGCTCATAGACGTATGAAGTCTACTTTTCCCCTTTCTTTCATTTTGAAAGAAAGGGGAAAGATTAATTTTCCCCAAGGATAAGTGAGCCACCATAAAAAGCATCTGGTCCGACTTCTACGTGGAAAGTAGACAGCTTCAGCAGAACCGGCATTGCCCAAAGCCATTCATTTCAATACAGGTTTTTGCAGTTCCAATGGCTTTTCTATTCCCGTCATTCCCGCTACTTCTTGATCAGCCTCGTTGAGTTAAAAACAGAATAAATTTGGTTTCCTTTTTCCAGAAGTCGACATTTTCATCTTATTTTGACCGATTGCAGTGAGAAGAGTAACACTGAAAGAGTTAAAAGAAGACATGGAATTTGTGTTGCGCCATCGTCGAGGACTCTTCGCTTCAAAATCGTCGTTAGCATTTTCAGTCACTCATTCTTCAAACAGGGTTGTTCTTTCTCACTCTTCGTGCGTGTGTGTATATTTGTAGACTTGTTTGTTTACCTCGACGACGTCGTCTGTGGCCATTTTTTACACTGTCGAGGTATTTGCGACTTCCAGTATATCAAGTGACGCAAAGATCGGCATTGACGACGTGTTAGAGGATGTGGTACCGGAAGTGACTTTGATACGGTGGAAGAGGTGGTGTGATAGACTAGAATGGATTCCATCATGACTTGTATCAAGTGCGAATCGTTTTTCTTCCGTGGTTCTGCTTTCTTTTAGCTGAAGAATATTCCTCCTGATAGTGCAGAATTCTTTGAGTTTTCAAGTCAAGCAAGGAGTCGTTGGCATCCGAACGAAAAGAAGGAACAGATTTCAAGGGGATAGAATTTGCAAGCACTTGTTCAGGGCAGTGCCTTGCCACATTGGTAAGCCTACTCAAGCGGTTAGTTGATAGCTGGGAAGCTTCAGCATGGAAAGGACGGTCGATAGGGTTGGACATTCTGCTTCACTTCTTCCTTGTGTTCAATAAGCGTCACTTCGTGATTTCAAATCCTCTTGCTTATGAAATACCTTCCTTTTTCACCGATTTCAAAGAAGATCTCCTCCCTAGGACCACCGAACGTTGATTATTTACGATCACGCATTTCATATGGTAAACACTCAGAGAAGTGAATTCGTAGGCAGAAATCATCGGGAATGGAATTATGACTAACAGTCCTACTTCCGCCATTGAAGCTTTTTCAGCATTTAGGTGCACATCCATCCACCCTTTTCCACCCATAAAACTTGCATCCATTCGTCCATCCATTCCGTATTCACCCACCCACCCGTTATCTATCTACCCCTTTTCATCCATTCACCCTTGTCCATCCTGTATCCACCCACCCATCAATCCTATATTCACCCGTCTATCCATCCATAATGTATCCACTCATTCATCCCGTATCCATCCATCCATCCATCCATCAACTCATCCGTCCCCTCCAAATTGGTTCAGCTTCCACCTTATCTGTTTCTTCACTGACCTTTACGAATGGTTGACTTTACATCCATAAAAGCTTTCTACTTCGTTAATCTTCATCGTTAAATGTTGCAGATAGGGGCTTAACTTCACGTCCACATTGAATTCTGAAATAATTTCCGTTTTACACACATTTGAACGCACAAACCGTCACTCGTTTGCAGTTGAGAAGTGATTGTCGGACAACAAATCTCTAGGATTCCGTCCTATTTCCCGTCATCACTTTCCTTATAACTTTATACATCTTTGTCAATCTCGACAAGGAATTCCTTTGAATGGTTTATATCGTACCGTGTCATGTAGCTCAAAGCAAGTCTTACTTTCGCTCCTTCGAAATGATCAGCCATGCTTCATGCTTCAGCCATAGAATCCAACCTGACGTGTGACGGTGAAACGGCGCGTGTTCAATTCAGGCGGGAACAGTTGGGCGAGGTGGGTCCGATGACGGTGCATTTAAATCGAAGCCTACCCGAGGGCTGTTTCTTCAACTTCACCACTCCTGTCGACCTTGATGGCTTTGTTGAAGTCGCCTTTCCCATGGACAAATGTGGCGGCACGTATGAACGAGTGAGTTCCAGAATCCACCTCTAAACCACTTTCTTGCGTCTTCAAATTCAAGAGGTGGAGTAGTAAAGTGGGAATCTCCTGACTTCTGGCAGTCAGTCAGTGTGTCATGAGTGGAGCTGTGTGCCACCGCCGTGAACGCTGATTCGGGGTAGGTCAGAGGGGCCTGCGTAGTTGAAAACAACATTCCCCCCATCCAGCTGTTATCTCACTTCAAACATCGTCATTAGCGTTACCTGTGATGGCACTCTTAGAGACAGCAATGAAGGTTATGCTACGATGTTTAACCAAGTCTAGAGGACTTGAGAAATTTGCACGCGATTCACCTGTCATGTGTTGCTTGGTCACTTTCTTTATCCTCATTTCTCTTCTCCCGGCAGAGCAATTCGACAACCCTAGCAGTGCATCTCTCCCTTGTGGTGAATGCAACTCGCGGTCTGCTGCAATCGGGTGTGAGGTCAGGCGAGGGAGGAGGGACCGAGGTGTTCGTGTTACCCCTCACCTGTCTCGTTGACCGTAGCGACTCCGTCCGCTCCGCCGTGCGCGCTGTCGCCACCAGCCGTCTACAGCCTCTCGTCGCCACCCGTCCGACCCCGCCTGTTCGGCTCACCTTCTTCGCTGACCGACTGTAAGTCATCCACCTGCCTTGCAGAGGAGGCGGGAGACAGATGGTGGCGGGACCCATAGTGACCGAGGATCCAGCAGGGTTGATCATGCATTTAAAAAACTACGATCTTACCGTAACGGATGCCTAAATCCCACTTCTACTGTTGCTTGAGTAGAGAAAACAGCAATTTCTTTGCTGCCAATTTCCAACACCTTCTCATTCCAGATTTCAGAGACGCGTCAGTGACAATATAAACATTCTTCCTCACCGACGGGTATTTGCGCTAATTTCACTGGCACAACCCGAGCGAAACAGCAAGTTGATTCTACGCAACTGCTGGTTGTCTAGCAACGAGACCACCAGTGAAACCAGTATTCCAGTCATCGCTAATGGGTGTCCTGTGAATCCAGAAATCCACTTGCATCCAATTTCTCGAAATGCCGTCGGCTTCTCCTTTGAAACGGCATACCTCAGGAGGAAATCACAACCACTTAATGGTGGAAGTCTGCTTCAACTCTTCGTGGTCTGCCAGACACGCCTGTGCCAAATCTACGAAACCGATCCCAAGTGCATTCAGAACTACTGCAGTTGAAAAAAAACACGAATACAGTTGTTGGTAGGGGTGCTGGTTTGATAGATTGTTTCAGTAGCAAAAGCAGTGTTGCATAAATGTGAATTTATCTACAGGGAAGTTAAACAAGCATTACACATTCGAATAGGTGGTGGGTACATGGTCCTTAAGAGCTGACTCAATGGTTGCTTTAAAGGACTTCTGCGCCTCTTCAAGGTCCTCTTTTTACGTCTCAGCTCGATCAAATCAAGCCAGTGGCGCAGACCCTCCTTCAATCCTAGGACGCAAATAAAATAGCGGTTTACTTAGTTGAAATAAGGAGACATTGCTCAGGAGAAGGCAAGGGCGAGTACCTGTGAGATTGAGCCGCTTTGCAGCAGAGACAAGGTAGACATCTTCAAATCGAAACTCGTGGCGAGGTAGCAGGACTGATGGCAGTCCGCTAGCCTTCGAAATGGCGTCACAGTCATTGCCTAGCAGCACTTCTCGTGCCTCCTCTGCTGTCCCTTGAGCGTAGGGCAGATCGATCTGATGGAACAATAAATGCCTGATCGCGGTCATGAACAAACGTCAATGGAATTAATTTTAGAATAAAACTACCTTCTTATTTACATGGTTTTTGTACATTAAGTCTTAATGCACACATTTCCAGCGAAAAAATATGTCGAAGTCGTTACAAGCAACCAACAACACTAACCTAGTTTGCAGACACCAAAGATGGAGGAAGTCAGAAAACAGGTCACGCTTAAAACTGAGGCAAGGTTCAAGAAGAATTGCCTGAAACAAACCAAGAAAATCAAGGAAAAACACTGAAGGAAAAAAGAAATGTTCGATTTAGCTAGATTTAAGTTTGGTGAACGGGATGATACTACCGATATTAGAATCGCTGAATGAGAAGAAAGATATGGGAATAAATGATGTCCATTACATGTGGAAGTAACCAACCGGAGGACTGGGTGGTGTCCAACCAATCACGATGCGGCAAGGGTAATTTCACAAAAAGGGAGATTTGCTCAAAAGCAATTAACTGTGGATAGTGTTAATGGGGCTTTCATGCAGAAAGCATATGTCCATTACTAACAAGAAATTAAGTGGATAATCTTACGTTCACAAATTGCTCGCCAATAATCTTCGACAAACATCGAAAAGGAGGAAAATTACTAAACAGCCTAATATTTCGCAAAGTGAAGTGGGGGACCCTGTGACCCGAATCATGTTGAGTAAAATGTCTAAAGGGACTCACGAACAGCTATTCGAGTCTCAGTGGACAGCTAAAAGTAAAAAAAAACTAATCGAGAACCGATCCAACCAATCACAGGGTTGTGAGGGCTCCAATTGCTTGAAAATTGAGTTATTTCTCCTACCAAAAAATACTAGCTGAAATGAAATTACTTAATGCGCAGCACAATTATCATTGGAAAGTAGTCAGGACTGCAAATCAACGGGTTACAAAATACATGTCTTATTCCACCAAAATAGAGATCAAACAGACCTCATAAAAGGCCTTAAATGAGTGAGATAAATAATACTCTGATTTTCGAAGGTAGTTCGGCAGATTCTGTCCAAACAATCAACCAGCAAACGGGATGGTGTAACGTAGAAAGTAGACCATATTTCAAAGCTCCTCTTGTGATTTCTACATCTATGACAATGCTTTGGATAAGAGGCCAGCCGGCATGGCAAATCCTTGCCAAAAAGCACCTTATTAATAGCACAGAGCATTGGCTTGCCGAGGAGACGACCAAAAGCGTAGCGTTGCAGCTGACTGACTAGCAGAACTGCGGCAGCCAACGGCGTGCGTAGGGGAGCATGCTGGTTCGCCTGGAAGCCAAGGGCATCGAGGACCACTAGGAGACAGGCGGTGCGCTCAACGTGTTTCAGGAAGGCTGTGTGGCGCAACGGTGGGGGCGACTGCTGATTTGTATCAAACTTAGCGGCTATGTCCGCCAGACCTGAAGCAGAGGATAGGACTAAGGTAAGAGCAGATCCAAAAGCCAATCTAGCTGTGTCCAAACATCAGGACTTCAATCAGTCCAAAAGACCCTCCCAGATTCCTGCTTCTAAGTGGACGATAGGACGAGAAAATAATTTCGCTTCACAACATTGTTCGATCTTAAGCAATAAAAATAAAATGAATTCATACTATGCGGTTCGCAGTGACAAGGCGAAAAATGGATTCACCGAGGTTTACGGGACGCACCACCATTGTTAGATCTAATGGTCCTCTCAGGGTAATTAAAAAAAATTCTCCTATGGACTTCGCTCTTATCCCATCTCGAAGCATAGAGAGCGCAGAGAACGGCTACAAAACGTGTCCTGTACCTTATTTGGAGGACAATTGGGCAAATAACTCACTAGCAAACTCGAAAACAAGGCAACTTCGGTCGGCGGAAAGTATATGACCGGAGCCTTGCTAACAGAGTGAACCCTTCACAAGTGTTTTCACTTTACCGTAAATAGCATACCTAAATAGCTAGGGCTTTCTGTAACTGATGTTAAACAAAAAACAACGGTAAACTTTTGAACGTACCCGGCAAATCTGTCATTGTGATCGTTCGATGATCGGAAAAGCTGATAGCAGCTATCTGTGGTCTCAGGGTGGTAAAAGGATAGGCAGCAATTTTCACCTTAGCTCCTGAGAGCGCCTGCAGCAGACTCGATTTTCCTGCATTAGGCAGCCCGATAAGTCCAACGTCTGCCATCAACTGGAAGGCAAATGGAAGAAGAATGAAAAAAAACATTGGCACACCTTTAGGTCCAGCACTATCGACCGCGCCTCTCCTGGACTGCCAAGATAATTAGTTACTGGCGTGCCACCATAACCACCCTGAGCAACAAGCAATCGCTGATCGGGTTCGTCAAGGTCACCTATTAGTCTTGCGGATTCACCCGGATTACTAATGGAGACGGAAACCCCAACGGGGACTGGAACTTCAATGTCGGCAGCATTGGTACCAAAGCATACGCCACGTCGAGAGCTACAGGGTTTACCACAGTTAGCCTGTAAAACAAAAGAAAAATACAAAACCATGGAACACCGTTGAGGTAACACAAGAATGAAACTGTACAATAAATCGCCTTTTGGGATATTTATCAATTATGCCAGTGAGAGTTTGCCCCTCCACACTACGAAGGTAAACACTTCCACCATTGCCACCCTTTCCGCGGATTAGAGGGTTTCCGGCACTGCCTGAGCCGGATTTGACATATATCCGCAAGCGATCAATAAACTCTCCGGCTTTTCTGCTCATTGTGTGAACACAGGCTAGTGGGCCATTAGAGTGGGTACCAAAACACTACATTTGTGCATTTCGAATACTAAAGAAAAATTCCGATGAATGATAAGGAACCACAGGTTGTCCTAATAATGTGTATAATAGTAAGAATTAGGCGCAAAACAAATACACTTATGCATTAAAAACAGTGCGATTGCACAGGCAATAGTAAAAATGTCATTATTAAGATCCCGTTTATCGAACTCGAAATAATCCTTAGATATTAAAATTTTAGGAAGAAGTTAACAAAAGTGACATTTACATAGACGGTAATGCAGCAAAATTGACGTTTGATATTGGATTTATGCTGGAGAATCACCAGATATTAAAATTACTACCTACAATTCCGCAAAAAAATACGTAGACCAACAAGTCATACAGTTGGCGTTAAATAGACGCTGCCTCAAAATACTGCAAATTTTTTCACTAGGTTAATCACCAACTTTAAAACAAATTCGAACAAAGCTTAAACCAAATTAGTTATGCTGTTTAATGGCGGTATTCCTAATAGTGAAGCAATGTATTTTTGCGGTTCTTCCCCTTCTTAAGCGTTGTACTTTCCCTCCTAATCTTCTCCTTATTAACAAAAATGTCTAAATTAAATCAATGGGCTGTTCTAAGAACACTAGGAACAGGGAAGAGGAGACCGGCCAGTCTCGCCCTACACTATTGGTATCTTATAATATCATACGAATTTGTGAATCCCTAGAAGTAAAGCAGTCATGCATTTAGCATTTACACTCCTTTTTTTGTTTTTAACGTCTGGAATTCAATTTTACTCTCACAAATGCTTCGGGTTATATAATTCATAAAATTTAATGAACATGCTGCACTACTGAACACTGCCACGACCCAAATTAAGTGCGGCTTTCGTGTAAAATTTTTATTTAATAAAAAAATTAAAAAATATACACAATTTGTTTAGTATTCTCATTTTTAAATGAAATTTTTAGTGTTTATATGAACTTGTTTGTGACCGCTTTAGTAAATCGCCCAACAGTGGGAGTCCTCATTGGGACAATTGGTGCGTGTTGCCATGCCGTTTGCTTCTTTTAAGAATATTCAGAAGCGTAATGCTCGTTTACACAAGGAGAGGTCTCAGGTACTGTGGTGCTTACTTTTTAGTAACTCTTTGCCTATTTAGCCGGCTGCAAGGGCCAAGTTCGGACCTCTTCCAAAAAAGAAGGATTTTATTCTTCGATCAAGAGATGAGGAGGCGAAGAGGAACCGCATACGCGAGTTAAAGAGGAAGGCGCTGACGAAAAATGAGGACGAATTTTACTTTGCTATGCATAACACTGCTCATTCGGTAAAGCTTTTGTTTATCCTAATACCAATAAATCAGGAAGAAAAGGGTCACATTCTGCTAAACAATACGAAGGAATACAGTGACTCAGAACTAGTAGATATGCTTTCTTGCGATATTCTTTACCTTCAAAGAGAACTCACCATAGAGATGTCAAAGATTCGAGAACTTGAATCACGTTTTAATCTCCTCCCCGCTGATCCCTCGGTAGCTAGTAGGCGTCTGAAGCCAAAGCGAACTGTTTTTGTGGAGTCGATCGAAGAGGCTCGTGCTGTGCGGTCCTCTTTTGATCCTTCAGCCGTCTCAATCCAAATCCCCGGTAGTGTGCCCGCATCGGATGCAGATGCACTAATGGATTTGCAGGCTGCTGGTTATAAGGAACTTTCAAAACGCTTGACTCGAGCGGAAAAGCTGAAACTTGCCATTGCGAAGCGTGAGGCTAAGGCCACACTGATGGTAAGTTTCGTCTGAATATTTGAAATGGGGTTTTTGTTTCTTGGTGCTTATTTTGTCTATCTTTTGAATTTTAGAGAAGCGCTAATGTGAAATACAAGGTTATTCGAAAAGGTAATAGGAATCATGCCCCTGTGTACAAATTCGAGCAAAGGCGGTATAAATAACCAGCAATAATATTTGCGGTTTTGCGGTTTTTTAAAGTGGTGATATTTTCCTAGAATGAATTTCTTTCATTAGGTATTGCTTGTCAAACTTTGGTGCGCGGCATGTTTAACACTTCTGTTTGTTTATCCTGTTTCATATTGACGTGTTGTTGTTTCATAAGTTCCTGCAATCAACGATTGTTTGTTAGGTTTAGTTTGTCGGAGTCCCCCTTCAAAGTGAAATAGGAAATTTTTCTTTATCATGCTTAGTGGAAAATCTCATGGCATAGGTACACTCTCATGTAAGTCATTTATTGGGATTCGTGTTTGTGATTGATGACAAGCAGGTAGTTTAGCCATATACGGGAAAATTGTGTTTTTTGGAAGCTGAAAAAGAGTGTGAGGAAGTACTCATACCACTTGCAATTGGCTGAATTATTGGTTTTTAAATAATGGAATTTGCTGTTAACGGTCGGCTGATGTGTGGTTTAAAATTTCAATTTATTTGCCTTAACTAACAAGCCTGACTGAGTGATTTTGAAAGACCAGAAGTGTTGCTCCAATAGATCAGTTGATTACTCCACGTTTTATACACTACGATGGATGTCATGTGATTGTGAGGAGGAAATGGCAAGTAGAGGGCGAGGGAGGACAGCGGCAGTGTCTAGGGGATTATCGTTTCAAAATTCTGATCCTTCGAGGAGGATTTCAGTCCCTTCTGCTGTTCCTCATCATCCGTTCCTACCAGCTCTGTTATCTTTTTCTTCCGACAGCACTGCGAACACTTTCCTTCCCTAATCGCCACAACGGCGTAAGCAAGCATTAACGGAAACGGTGTGATGAAACCAACTACGAGAGGTATCGCTGCTCCAATGTCTCCCTCTGGTTGTGGCATTGAGTAGAGTAGTACTAGAATAGCAATTCCATTGTTCTGGATGCCCGTCTCGATGGATATGGTGAGAATCTCAGCTCGAGAACGTCGGCACAGAAAAGCGAGTAGAGCAGCAAGGAGGAAGCCCATCCAAGGTAGAGCAGCCGCTATGGGGAAGAGAAGAGGATAGGCACCCAGGAGAGCATAGATGGGCAAGTTGACGTAGATGCCAAATCCAATGATGATAAAGATGAAGGAAAAAGCCAATGGGCGAAGGAATAGGCGAACCATGCGCTTAGCGGAATTAGGAAAACGCCATTTGATCAACATGCCGAGGACAACGGGAACGACGACGTAACAAAGTTGGCCGGCGATTTGGGTGTAGGGGATGTGGATGGCTCTGGTATCGAGGAAGAAGCGGCCGTAGATGAAGAGCATCAATGGCATCATGCCTTGAAGGGGAGAAAACTCTCGATTGTGGTCTTGTGCAAATAAGAATAAATAACCAACTCCTTTGAATGAAAAGCATGCATTTAGTCTTCTTGGGGAAGGGCTTTTTCGCAGAAGCATGTTCATCCGGTTCCGCGGTGTGGTTAGTTTTTATGCGATATCTCCTTGATTTTTTTTCCTAAAGTTAATGGTTTAACAATGTCTCAAAACGCGATTGCTTGCAAATTTAATTTCGCATAATCAACATGAGGAACAAGGCTCTCAGCTGTAGCTGAGTTAAACCGTCAATTTTACGATCCTATTGCGAGGCATTTGGGAAAGCAAGGGTACGGTGTACCACGTTTGGTGGTGAAACGATTCCAAAGGGTGGTTATGTCTTTGCAAATGGGTAGTTCTCACTACCGCTCAAGACCTTAGACTCATTTCGCCTTCTACTAGGTTGAGAAACTGGTTTCCTAAGACTCTAAAACTGCTTTAAAGCACTGACAACTACCTCAGTGCTTTTTGGGATAATTGGGTCTAAATTCTTTAGCAAAAGTTGGCTTTATTTAGAACGAATCGCCATGACATCCCTGTCGGCAACGACTTATTGGGAGGTATCGCATTGCCGCTTCAAATGGTTATCCATTTGGCGTCACAAGGTTGCTCCTTATACTCCGCATCAAAACCTTATTCAAGAATAAAAAACACACTGCGCTCTGTGCAGTTTATGGCTACTTTGCAAGTATTTCAATAGCAGTTGAGTTGAAAGTCGACGACTGAATTAACGCTTCAACTGCAAAAATTAGACAAGTTGGCTTTTAGATTGTCGCGAGGGTGTTGATAACCTAAATTTAGTCCAAAAAAAACGAAGGCACTAAAGAATTAGTTTATTCAAAAATTGCAGTGCAGTAACTGAAACCCACTAACACTTGCATAAATAACAAATGGCACTTGTGATTATTGTAGCTTTTTTAAAGTTGGTTTTTTTGAAACAGCATTTGCATTTGCTAACCTAGGTGAACGGTGAGCTTAAGCTTTTTAGCTTTGTGCTTAAAGTAATCCTAAAACTAACTAATGTTGCAACTCAATAAGTGCAGTTTTACGTGCTTGACTATATTTTGGGTCTGTTGCGCCTTCGCCTACATTAGAATCTCTTTAACTCTTGCACCACAGTCTCAGAGTGGAATCGTCCACAGTGGTCCAGGTTTTTTGTAAAAAGCATGTATACTTAAGTATTTTGGTTCATTAAACAGATACTGGGAAAGTTATTGAAAGCATGCTTATTCTCAAATTAAGCAGATCTCTTTCGGCCACCCCATTTGGAGCAACCGCAGGTATCATGAAATGACAAAAAACACCAATTGCTCATCTTTGACTTCTGCGTCTTGGTAAGGAAACCTAATTACAAGTGGTATTTGCAGATTTTTTTCATTAGAGTTACCGTCTTGAGCCAAAAATATCATAAAATCATTCGCATTCTACGTGTCTCCGTGACTGTGATCTTCAGCTGCGTGGTGTGCGAAACGGTACCGTTACTTTTACCAGTTGTTTTTGAGAGCCATTAAATGCCTGTCAGAAGATAATCAAAAGGCCTGATCTTCACAAATCCAGCACAATTGAACCTTCATCTCATTCATTGCAAAGTGTGTCCTGATGACAGCCATTAAGTGGTTGATTAATGGATTTAAGATTCGACTTTAGCTAAACCTTACAGTGCATTGTTAACATTTTCTGTGCAAGTAAAAGTGTTGGCAGTCATTCAGGAACAAAAATTCTAAAAATTCGGTGAACATGCATCTCCTTTCTTCAGTCTTAAAACGAAGCATTCAAGCCTTGAAACAAAGTATTAACAAGTATAAAATACCACATTATTGTTATGATTGAGTTGGAGACAAATTCTACTTTCTAAGAAGGGTGGGACTGTTTGTAGGGGAAAATGGGAACAAAGCCGTTACTGATTACTAGATTTTAGGCATAAATAAATTAATAGGCGATTTTGATAATGCTCATATTTTGCTACCTCATTTCCTTCCTTAGTCCCTGCTAAGATCCTAAGGGTGAATCGGTAGTATGCCAGAGCTCTCATTTATCGTGATATGACTGCTTCTGCCCAAGCAACATAGCTGCAGGCAAGTTTAATGTCGTCTTCCGAAGCTTCTAGAACAAAAGCACCTATACCAGGTAGCCTCGATTACGTCAGCACTATTTACAAGTCTCAGTGATTGTAAAATTTCATCATTTATTAGTGCTGCCATTTAATCGCCCAGGTATGCGGTGATGACGCAAAGCAGTGGCGATAATGATGACGGCGTGACGGAACAATCGAACACGTGGGCTACTTAGTCTTCATGATTTCGGTACTCCTGGGCACTGCTTATGCCTCACAAGTAAATTTACGTTTTAACATCCTTAACAACTCAGTAGCTAGAAGCTGTTTTGGAACAAGCCACTAATATGAGTTGAGTGTTTTTTTTGCCCTTAACAAGATTAAACAACTGACAGCCTCAATCAACAAGAAATATGTAACTTAAAAATGGGGTGCGGTGAATTTGATCCCAAAAGGTTCTGTCTGCACTTTTGATAAAAAAACGAACAGGAACACCAACTCGGATTCCCGCTACGCTTCAATCGCAAAAGCAGCATCGCTAAATGATATCATCAGAGCGCATTTAAACAAAATGGTAACAAAACTTGATAAACATTTCCATTATCAAGTGGCAGTCAAGACAGTCAAGCGGAAAGCAGTTTTTGCTAGATTATTACTTGCCCGTTGGTATGCTAGCGAAAAATCAAGAGGTTTCCCCACTTCCAAATGATTGACAATTACACGTAAATTTTGAGGCGTTTCACAGAAGAACGAAGAGAATTGCTGTTCATTTGGCTATTGCGAACTCAACAAAAGTGGTAAAAACCTGTGAATGACTGACAAGTATCGTGAGACCTTCCTTTCCACATTTGACTCCGCCATGCCGATGCCTTAATCCGCATCAAAACCACCACATCAGTTTAGCTATCAACGGTGCGGCCCCAGGCTCCACAGCAAAGCCTGTGACCAGTTATTTGACTTCGCGGGGTGACCTTCCATCTTCTGCCTCTGTAATGAAGTGGTCCTCGATTCTAAGAGGCCTTGATACTATCCGGGAAATTTAATGAAGCAATTTTGTAAAAAAGGATACTGGATTATAACAATTGAAAATTACAGTCAAGGGTTGGTACCTCTCTGGCTGACTCAGTGCAGATGGCAAAAATTTGGCATCCTTTGAGTAAAATTTGCAGATGGGATGAATTTCTCATAAAAGTACTCCACCTACTCGGTACTATCAACTCATCTCACCTCACCATCCCATCGCATGTCATCTCAGTATGTACTATTTGACCTTGACACCTGACACCTACTTGTCACCTGGCACCCTGTATCTGGTCTTTAAATCTATGGTACTGACTTGATGAACAGAGTGACGTCCGATACAAAGCGACTGTGAATACATGAATTTTTTCGATTATCCCTCCTCTTAGTTGCATAGACAAAAAGATGTCGTGATTATTACAAACATACTTTCCTTTGCTGAGGTGACAAAGTCACTGCCACAACCAATTGACCACGTTTAATTAACGTGATCAAGCAGTGGTCCTCATCATCAACATTAACCAACAAACTGGGTTCACACAAATGCATCCCTTATTAGGCATAAGTTTGTTTGGAAGAATTTGAGGTCATCAACAACTACGGCGGGTTAGAGTTAGTGTGAGGGATATTTCAGAAGTTACATCTAACCACGGAGCTCCAGATGATGTTGTCCATTTGAATGGGTGGGAATGGAAGGGTGGATGGATGAATACAAAGTGGTTGCACAGTTAACTCACCCAATGCAGTGATGGAGCTGATGAAGGTCATGGTCATGCTCAGATTGAGGTCACCATGCAGCAACAGTGTCCAGATATTCGACCCACCTCCACCTGGACAGCAACCAGTGGTGAGGAGACCGAAGCCGAACTCCGATTTGATGGGCACTACCATGGCCACGCCGAAAGCTATCTGCATTCACCACCACCGCCACCGCCATCACCGTCCCATGTGGAGAATAATGGAAGGAAGGAAGAAGGGAAAAATGAACCTCTCATTAATGTTAGGCAGTGAGGAAGCACTCTCAAGTACGTCATCCTTGAATCAATAGAAACCTTAATTGTAGAAGCGTTTCAGATTGTCAGGGACCTGCAGAAGTGACATGATTACTTACACACACACACACACACACACACTTGAAGATTTATTGGGGACAAGCCAGTCTTCTACGCATCCATGATCGTATTTGCTCCATTCTATTAGTCTAACTTATAAAATCACCTTTGAAATGACTAGAGGAACAACATGAGCCTGTGACGATCCACACTTTGACAGGTGAGGCTGTCACCCGACTCTCATAGCGCACATGACATTATCGAGCCTGGGTTTTAGCATCATACTTCACCAAGAACTGCTGGTAGATCTCGATGCACACTCCTTGCTGCACCTCCTTTGTCACCTTCATTTATGTTTGTCTCCCGTGAGTCCCTCTACATACAGTAAAACAAAGCACATTGTTTTCCAGTCAGTCAGCAGTCCTGGCACACGGGAAGACTTAATTAGACGTTAGAGAGCAGCAACCTTCAAGTTTCACCTCATGAAAGCAACCACGCATTACTTGTACCGATTTTTGGAAGGTTATTACACTTTTATGAAAGTATAAGGCTACTTCATGTGTACTTTTACAAAGAATAAGTACAAAGGAGAGTGAAAGGTTGGCCCTAAGGTGCTCTTGGGTCCCTCCAGTACGATGAGATGTAAACTTACCAAAGGCATCAATCCATATTGACAAATAAAGCCGATAATTGGTGCCACAGGTTTCTTGAAGTGCTTCCAAATCAGCATGACATCTAACTCACATCCCATGACTAGTGTAAGGGCACACACCATGACAGCGACAATAGCTCGAAAGATGGTTTCCATAATGCCTCTAGAGCGTAGAATTTTTAGGTGAAGACCCATTGCTGCTCCACCGCCTGCCTCATACACTCGACTTCCGTTAACTAGCCACGATGTGTACTGCTTCACTGAGGTGTCATTGGAGGGATCAAAGGAGAAGAGCACTCCTTCTCTACCCCCTGGTTTTGCCTCTCTCATCCAAACCTTCAAGTAGACACTACCCATTCGATGTAGACAAATAGTGAAGTTGAGAGTCATGTCAACGGAGCCGGGTGAGAGGTACATCCAGAAGGGTGGCAGGAGAGTTGCCACCTCACTGATGTCGGTGTCAAAAGAGATGGAGAGGGGGATATCTGTGTGCCCAGTGAAGTTACACACGAGGAGGTGGGGTGTAATGCTATTCTGCGAGAAGGTGAGGTTGCCTTTAAGACAGGCGAGACTGAGATCATAAGTGGCAGCAGTTGTGGTAACAATAATGATGGGAGTCACTTGATCGACAGTTTCTGCGTCGATCCGTTTTCGATCATCCAATACCCAGGGATCGGTTATTAGACCCCCAATGGATTCTTTAACCGTGATGTTGGAAAATGCTGAAACTTGGTTAAGAAGATGGAGGAAGAGGAAGCCGAGGAAGTGCATTCTTCTTATCGTTGTGGTAGTGCCTATGAAAACGACTTGTGTGCATGTGAGATTTGTCTGTGTGAATTTTGGTCTAATCAACCACTCAATAAATACACACACACACGTACGCACGGAGGTATACATGCACGCGTGCATACAATACGCTAGCACTTTAGAAGTGCTAGGGGTCAAGGTTTACGGCGTCTGCCTTGACTACTAATTACTTCGGATTATTAAATCACTTGCTTAGAATTAGTCACGCGTCTATCAATAGGTAGAAAGGAATTTTTCGCAATTTTTACTTCATTTTGTAACTTATTAAACAAATAATTATTAAATTTAAACAAAATTAACAAATGTGACCCTCAATTTCCCTTCATTTGGCCTGAATTTCGGTGCTATTGATTATCGATCGGTGTGACATGTAGTCAGGTGAGTGCGCAGGACCATCGATTTTCCCCAATTGGGGATATTTACTCACCCGCTTTATTGATTTTTTTGCGGAAGCTCTAGGTGAGATGTGAAGTTGCCATTTAAGCAATTTAGGCGAGAATGAGGCAATAGGAATTCTAAGTTTTTAAAAATATCTCTTAAAATATAAGTATGTAAAATGCAGTTAAATTTTTTAAAGGGTAAATCTGTTGGAATTTACCGAAGGAGGAGGGCGCAACTCTTCTATTTAACATTTGACAACGTAAACACTGCATACGCTACATACACCACGTGGATTTCACTGCTCATCTGTAACATCTTAGGCTGATACGCCTGCACAATGCACTTGTCAGCATTCGCTCCACAACTCTTCATGTCTTCCTCCTTCCGTATTGCACGTGATTCCATCTGCCTTTGGTAGATCCGACCAGACAGACCATCACCAAAACACTTGCCATTCTAGCATTTACTTGTCCGCCAAAGCGACAACTCGATAAAATGTTTTACTGCAAGGCAGGAATAGGCGAAAGGTGGGAATCGGTGCTTTCAACTGTGACTCAGTGGAATAAGGTGGTCGTGAACAGTCCCAACTGTCTCTGTGTGGCCTATCAAACACTACACTACCACAGTTCATTCTATTTGTAAAAGTTTGAAACGACTGAGATCCATCGGATCCAGCCAGCTTGGAACGTGTGATACTGCCGTCGTAACGACCACCGTGCCACCTATTAACCGGTTTCTTCAAATCGTCCACATCTTTGAAGGCGTTGCTTAAGGATTCCTCCTTTTTGGCCTCAAAAATGCAATTATAATCAAGAAATATGGACTGGCGGATAATTTTGATTTTAAAGATGAGGCTTCAGCGGAGACCAAATTGGAGGTTGATGAGAGTCATCCATACACGCGCTCTCAACACGTTCCAACAGGGGCTTTAAGTCGTCAGTGCGACCCACTTGCCACGTGGAACGGATGACTCAATACCAGAGTAGTGAAGATCTCTAAAGAATCACAGCACAAACTGATACATTTTCTTCACTCTCCAGCCAATGCAGATTTACTTGATGGAAATCTCCACCAAAATGGCGAAACCGTGGTTCACACTCAACTGCAATATGTGCACACATTTCAGTGTCAAAATGATGACAAATTGTGTAGCTATCTACATCTGTGGCCTCTCAGCCAACTTGCCACTAGACCTTCAGAGGGTTACATTTACGCTCTTCAAGAGTGTCTCTTCATTGCAGCCACTGACAACGCTTTTGCGTCAGGATTTTGAGGGAATGAAAACATCTACTAACTAAAGCACGCTGAATAGAAACTCTCTACACTTTCTTTACTAACACATTTCTAATCAGCCGTTGCTAAAAACAAATTTTCCGCCTCGAAAGCGGTAAAAATTGAAACAAAACCGATTGCTTCCAAAACGCAGCCAAACAGGAGGGAATTAATCTGCTTTACACGAATAACAAGGTGAAATTGTTCTGTTAATTGATATGAAACACAACAAAATTTAGTAGATTGTCTACTGGAATAGACTAGCATGGTGACCAATCAACGTTGCGGTACTCGATCAGTGACCTTCGGCTGAGTGCACACAATTAATGAGACGGCTGCACTCAAATGGCGGGTGATTAGTAAAAGTGCAAATTGTTGAAAATAATAAAATTTCAAATGTGCACCTGTTTACTCGAGACTTGGTCGAAAAATACAGGCTGATAACTCACTATTGAGAACGCTCTGGTTAAATGATGCGTAGAAGCATGGAAATTGAGCGGTGAGTTTGAGGGGTTTGTGCGAGTGAATGATATCACTCTAAACTGGCAAGAGTAGTCAGACGGATGCATTCGTCGTACTGCAATGACTGACAAGTGCAAAATTTATGCAGTTATTCAATCTCACCTACCTCGTCACGGCACCTCTTGACATTGCGTTAGCGTCAACGGCTTCTGATAAGCCGCATCACGCACAAAAAGAGAAGAGAAGAGTGTGGTGGTTATTGGCGCGGTGGTCGCACTAGCAACAACAACGATTAATCATTTACACGTCTCATGGTTTGCATTTCAACAACAGTGTTATTCTATCTCCCTGCCCTCCTCCTCCTGCCCCTTGGAATTACTGCTTTTTCCAGACACGTTGCCACCGAGTCCTTGGGTGGAGTGATCTTCGATGAGGTTTTACTGTCGGATAGAAAGCGAATTGAAGCAGAAACTCAACTTCAATTGAATAGTTCTCTAGTCACGTTAAACACGACATGTCTCAGTATTGCCTGTCCTACTGAGAATCTCACCTTCATTCAGCACGATGTGGATCCATTCAACTTTACTTGTAGTCTCACCTATCACCACATCGCCTCGCCCTTAGCCATCTCCTTTGAAACTGACATTCAGGATATTGTATCACTATCTCCACCTTTCTGGATTTACTTGACTCCTCAATTGGATGACCCAACTGTCACAGTTCTGCTCCTTGCCTTTTCCGTCAAGCGTCATCGAATGGGGAGCGCATTTCTAAAGGTATGGGTTCGAGAAGCTAGACCAGGTGGATTGTCTGGCTCCCTCCATGCATTTAACAGAGACAACGCAAGTCAAGTGGAGGAGTACTACGATTGGGTGGTCAACGCGTCGACAAATAATGACACCGCTGCAATGGGATTCCTTCTGAAGGTTCTCCGACCTAGAGGCGTGCTGGAAGTAGTATTTCGGGTGGTCATTATCACCCTCGTCTGTAAAATCACCTTTTTAATAGGTTGTGAGTTGGATGCACGTCTGATTTGGCGATATTTGAGGAGACCTGTGGGTACTATCATCGGTTTCGTCTGTCAATTTGGACTTATGCCTCTGGTGAGTGTCGGTTTTTTGAAGATCTAACGCCACCACTACAGGTGAATTAATATTTCTTGGAGTCAACTTTTTAAGCCAGCCAAGATGCTGGAAAAACACATACACAGGGCATGACCTCATGACCCACACAACAGAAATGGTGGCATTATTGTTTGTAGGTGGCGGAGTTCTTTGGAACCCCTTATTAGTGACAATATAACACGAGGGTCGTTTAGTTGTCAACTTGTAGATAACAACGACCGCGAGCGACCAGTGATACTTGACGGCCAATAGTGCGGCGTTTGAGGATGACACTGTGGCAATCTTGTTTAGTGTGAAGGTACTTGAGACGAGTTTGAGAGATGTGGAAGGGTGGGGAGAGCAATCATTGGAATTTTGACATCGCTAATCGTACGTGGACGGATGAATTTGAAGCTTGGACAATGTATCTACTCTATTCCAGGGGATAGATCCACTAATCGTAGTCTACACTTCTGATGTGTCCCCTGTCAGTAGTCCATCATTTCGAGGCTTCCTTCCTTATTCATCTTCCTGGTGACTGTGACCGACCGAATATCCAAAGTGTTATACGTAAGTAGGTGAATGGTGTGGTTAATCTATAGAAGGTGCTGTCTTTGACACGGATTGCATTGTCAGCCCAGCATGCACACACCCACTCATAGCGTGGGACAGAAGGACGCTCCGCCTTCTTCCTTGCTGTGACATTGAAGTCAAGTTCTGGAGTTTACTTTATCTCAGGAGTAGACGACTTGTGGAACAGGAGTTACGAGACACCCTCAGACACGATCATTCAATCCGTAGCTTGAAACACCTCCTCTGTTTCCGATGGGAGGACTGAGGGTGGTGACACTTTCGCTATTGCTACTGGTATTCCGAGGTTTCTGTGCTCTAGGTGTTTGGGTGGATAGCACTGTGGTTCCTGTTAATGGTACTGGTATGTGATTTGCATGTTCACTTTTGTCCGGAATGCTGGTTGCAAGAGTTAGCAGTCTGCAGAGTCAAGATTAAAAAGAAGGAAGGGAGGAAGGTGGAAAGTCATGACGTCCTGTCATGCCACACCTAGAGTTGTCACCTGGGAGTGAATTAAAGGGCACGAAAATGATTGTAATACTAGCGTGACGCTCTGGACGCTCAACCGGGTCCAGCAACACTTTAAGTGATTCCACAAAAGACAGACCGACCAAATAAATAACGGTTGTTGTCCTTTTGAAGCGGGATCGCATCCTGCTGCCACCAGTTCAGCACCTCAAGTACTTCCACACCATTGTGGAGAAGGAATTGGCATCAGTGTATGGAGGAGATGGTGGACCACAGGCACGGACGTCTGACTATGCCGTCTAGACAGAAGTACATGTTGTGAGGATCACTAAGTTAATAAAATGTTATTTAGATGTTTTGATTGTATTTTCTAAACAAACCTTACACAATATCAAAAAAGTCAAATTAACTGATGTTTAAAAGCCTATAACTCCATCATATTTGTATTTAGCGTCTTGTTTTAGGTAAAAGTTAAAAGAAGAGGGTGTTTTGGAAGGGTCGGCTGTTAATTTGCATACCTGTGGAATAAAATGCTTGGGTAACACCATTGTTAAAAAAACACTGACTTCATTAAAACAAAACACGCGATTCTAATGACTTTGTCTGGGGACGCGCGCACTTTCTACACATAAAAAATATCAATAGTTTTGATATTTTTAATTTGTCAAATGGGATAAACCTATTTTGCCACTGAGCAGTGCTAATGAACTATTGTCAGACTCCAGTTGTCAGTTGATTGAGCTGCATAATGTGAGGAACGGAGAGAGAAGCGATTGAATGCCTTATTTCGCCGAGACATGGTTGATTTGAATGATGCACATCTCTCCACCATCTCTGCCTTGCATTGAAGCCCTCTGCTGAGTTGTTGCGTTGGAGGGCAAGTGAAAGCTAGAATGGTCTACCTGGTCTGGTTTTCTCAAGGCAGACGAGATCACGTGCAACATGGAAGAAAGAAGATCTGAAGAGTTGTGGAGTGAATGTTGATGACGAACACGTTGGAACGCGAGTACTAGTTTCTGCAAGTGCATGATTCTGGGATGTCGCATCTAACCAGTGAAATCTACATGGTGAACGTGCGTCTACGAACATGCGTAAAGGCGAATTCTAACCGCTCAGTGTAACCATGTTATTCTTCTATTTCTTCCATTATTCTCTACATGGGGATGGCGGTGGTGGTGAATGCAGATAGCCTGTGGCGTGGCCAAGGTTGTGCCCATCAAATCGGAGTTCGGCTTCGGTCTCCTTACTGCTGGCTGCTGTCCAGGTGGAGGCGCGTCGAATATCTGGACACTGTTGCTGGATGGTGACCTCAATCTGAGCATGACCATGACCTTCATCAGCTCTATCGCTGCACTGGGTGGGTTAAACATGCCACCAATTTGCATTCACCCTTTGTCCATTCAGCTATCCGCCCAGTACCCATCAACTCTGTGTTATGCATCCAACTATCCATCCACTCCTTATCTATCTATCCTGTATCCATACATCCATATATTTACCAATCGCGTATCCATCCTGCATACATTTATCCATGCATCTTGTAGGCATCCATCCATTCTGTTTCCATCCATCCATCCTGTATCCATCCATCCATCCTTCCACCCAACCGTCTCGCCTTCCTTTACATATCCATTTAATATTCCACCCTTGCTTAATAATCCAATGTAAGTAGGGAAGTAGTTTGATTTCTATAAGCAAAAATTACTTTTTGTAATCCTCTGAGACCATTTACATATCGTAGGCGCTTATTTTTGCGCTGGCTAAACCTACTTCCATACTACTATTAGGACTTGAGTAGAAGACAACTCTCTTTCTGCATGGCTATAAGACAAAACAAAACTACTTTTTCTGTTCTAGGCATGATGCCCCTGATGCTTTTTATCTTCGGCCGCTTCTTCATAGATGTCCACAGCCTTTGCATCCCCTATCTCTTGATATTTGGTCAGCTCTGCTATATCTCCGTGCCCGTGATGATCGGCATGTTGGTCAAGTGGAGCATGCCACGTGTTGGTCAACTCCTCGTTCGTCTATTGCGGCCCCTTTCCTTTCTCTTCATTGTAATTATTATTGGGTTCGGAGTGTATACAAACCTCGCCATCTACCGTCTCATTGGCATCTACCCAGTCATTCTTCCAGCTGCCACGGCATTGCCCTGGATTGGATTCTGCCTTGCTGGATTTCTTGCTTTCATTTGCCGCCGATCACGAGCTGAGATTTTTACTATATCGATCGAGACAGGGATCCAGAATTCAGGAATAGCTATTCTTGTGCTAATTTACTCAATGCCGCAACCAGAGGGAGACCTGGGGGCCGTAATGCCCATCGTGGTGTCTATTTTTACGCCGTTGCCGCTGGCTGCTATGCTAATTGGGCAAATGATTAAAGAGAGAAGGTTGTCTTGTCATCGGACAAGAGGAAGAAAGAGCAAGGAGAAGGGAACTGGACTGATGGGGGGAGCGCGGAAACCACTCACTGCAACTAAAAGGATAAAAGAAGACGACGATGACAACGAGGAGGAGGTAGAGGATTGGAACAGCAATAGGAATGTTTAACTGGAGAACAAGAAAAGAATCACTTTGGTAATTTGCGATAATCTTGTGCCATCAAATATTGTGTTTGCTGTCACTTAAATGGCTTTATCTCAAAGCTTTGCTAGCTGCGTCTTCCTTTTATGGCAGGAAGGAAGTAACGAAAAATTCCACTTGATTTGGGTGTGATCGATAGGGAAGTTGGCAATAAGGCATTAAATAACCACGCTAATTTCCCATTTTCTTAGCAATATGTTGCTAGAACTTGTTTAAAGGTGGCATAACTAACTTAAGAAGTATACAGCCACCATAAATAACATCGCAAACATTTTGTGATGCAGTATTTAATATGCTTCTTAGCTATGCGGTCTCTTGCAGCTACGAGATGCACTTCCAGTCGGTGGTAAGGCTCTCCAACCTCGTCCGTTGCTTCCCAGCCCTTCTGTGCGTTGACAATAAAACATCTCCCTCATTAATTTGGCTTAGTATGACTTTAAAAGAGACGAACGCCTTAAAAAATGCAGTAAATTAAGTTTTCATTTAAGGTAGTTTAAGCATCCATGTTTGATTCATCCAACAGCAAGTATCCTTTGGAACGACATAATAGCTAAGCTCTACCCATAATTTTCTTGTGTCATGTAGCTAAAGTGATGCTATTTAGTATTTGATAAGGGTGCCAGCATATTGACTAATGTTAGAGTTATCTATTGTCCTTTTTTAAAATCACCGAAATCCCACTTATCACATGCATCTAGTCATTACCACTCGGTGCTTACAGCACACTGATATGGCACACTTGGGTAAATCTATTGCAAGATATAGTTTCACTACCTAAAGCGTAACCTTTTATTTGGGGTATGTTCAAAGTGACGAGATAGTTTTTTAAGGAATAACAGGGCTAAATCCATACACAGAATTCAGCACAGTAAAAAAGAGTTTTTGGTGCAGCAAAACACAAAGTGAATAATCGCTTTTAGACAATATTTTCTACAGGTCGTAAGCGGAGCAATTAAAGAAAAATGCATCCCTTTTTCTAAGATATGTTGATGATACTGTTAAAAGGTTCATTGACTTAACTGTAAGAAGGCTATTGGCCAATGACTCCGATAAAGGCTAAAATACGATGAAATGTCTGGAGATCGTTTCAATTTCGACGAGACCGGGGACACTTTTTACTGCTTTCTCATTGCAGTGTTTACTGTCGTCCTATTACCAATAACATATTTCTTCTGGCCCAAATCAGAAGCTAAGCAATCCGTTGATGCCATAAAAAGGCGTTGCCAATGCTCACCATGCCAGACAAAACGTGCGAATTTGCGATCATCTCCTACAAAGAAATGGATGAAAAGGACTTTGATGTAGGACTTAGTGTTACAGACCTCTTTTATTTGCAGAAAATTGATAATTATTACTGCTTGGGCCATGATTATAGCATTGGGATTCAGATTATCCAAGATTGAAGTCACTTTGAATACTTTTGATCCCTATTTTGAGCTTTCAATCCATCCAGTAAGATGTTGGTTGTTTGTCCTCGCTAACTTATATTTTGCTAGGATGCTTCAAAGGCCGAAATAAAGAAGGCTTACAAGAAGCTTTCCCTTGTTCACCATCCTGATAGGGGTGGTGATGAACAGAAATTTATTAGGATTCATAAGGCCTACATCACGTAAGTCCTAGTTTCTTGCAAAAATATTTTCCCTTCTATCTCTAGTTTAACCGATGAAGTCGCGCATAAAAACTGGCAAGAATATGGCAATTCAGATGGACCAGGAGGTGTTAATCTTGTGGTTTTTGTTATGCGATATTTGAACGTTGGTCTTTTTCTTAAATGTTTTTTGTCATTCAATAAAAGCAATCAATTTTGGAATGGCACTTCCCAAGTGGATGATTAAAAAGGAGAATACAGTGCTAGTCGTTGGTGTATACGCGGTGATATTTATGCTCATGCTTCCCCTAGTTGTGGTATGTCGTACCTTTTTGCATAAACTTCATCCAAAGACTTGGCTTAACTTTGCAAATTCATATTTGCGCTTCTTTAGGGTCTGTGGTGGTCCAACTATATGAAGTATAGCAACACACGTGTCCTCCTAGTCACTGTTCGTTTGTTTTGTGGCAGTTTCATGTACAATCCCTTTATGGCTGTACCTCGGTTAATAAAGCTCCTCTCGTCCGCCTACGAGTTCAACAGCCAGTTTAACAAAGAGGTCGCCTGTAGACCCAGCGATAATGTAGAACTCCCACCGGTAATGCCTTTAATAACTGTGACTTTTAAGTCTAGCTTGGCTACCTCTCATTCGCTACTGGTGTCACTGCCTGTTGCTTTTCAGCTGGTCAACCAGATCCCAATGTTCACCATCTTCAAGAGGGCTATTGTTGGTGCGCCCTATGCGATCAAGGCTCGCGCCCTTATCTATGCGCACATGCTTCGACTCGAGCTACCTCCGAAATCTCTCTTCATTGGTGCGTAATAAATTTTATTAATCCTGTTTTTGTGTGACTTTTATTTTCTGTCTAATTCACTGAAAATGTTCAGGTTTGGGATGATACGTCCGCAAGGAGTTTCATCCATAACTATTTTCGGGGGCATAGATAGGCCGTTTTTGTGGAGCTGTTTAAATAAAGGATACAAGTTAGCTGTCACTAAAATTGGTTCCCATTAATGCGTCATGTCGCCCGTCACGTAATTGAGTTTGGTTGCGGTCTGAAATAGTCTCTATGCTTTTTCGATATGAGCTTGGTAGGTTTGACTTTGCTCGACTTTTCAGCTTCTTTTAAGACAAGGAGGTATCACAGCTTCAGTCTTCGTGTATTATTTACCTGTTCCAAACTCGGGGCAATTCAATTCTATTCCCGTGTCATGATATAGAACTTGAGATTGGGGTAGTTGACGTGGTTTTAGTACCCGACACTTCAATAACCCATCAGATATGTCTCGCTTGCCGTAAAACCGTATCACTTTGGGCCAGTCTTTTTTGATACCTTGGTCGAAGGTATAATTATTTGAGGTGTCAGACATATTCCGTCTGGCCACATCCAACGCGGCATCTGAGGTGCTCCTAATAATGTTGTTAGGGTTAGCTATACAATTTTCGATTCTGGGGATGTACAGCAAACAAAGATCTATTGACCTTGAGATCCTAACCACAAATAACTGTCTCCGTTTTTTATTGGACGTCATGGTAACAGTCAAATGGACTGAAGTCTGAAGTGAAATAGAAGTGGAGGCGATAGATTGAGTTTACATCACAGACGGTAGGCTTCCGTTTTTAATACCATCAAATATGCCACAAAATTGAAAGGGAGATGCACTTTAGACCAAGAGCTCAGTTGTTATTGGTGGTACTCTTTTTCAGCATCGTGGTATTCTTTTCGGCTTCTTTCCCTACAGATAAGCAATACATCATCGCGCAATGTCCACGCCTTCTTGAGGAGATGATCAACAGTCTACTCATCATTTTGTCCATGGCCACTGAGGATCGTGAGTCTCCTTACTTACACGTACTTGGCCAATAAGTTCATTCTGCTGCAGGGAAATGTGTTCACTTCGGAAAGGTACTCTTTACTAACAATATGGCCTTTCGGTGGGATAAATTCGTGAAGCCGGTTTAGACTGGCAATTTTTTACAGTTCTAAGAAAGCATTGCCTTGAAATCTTTCGTTTATAGATGTTTATGCTTAATGTTGATTGCGGCTTCATCGATGGGATGATTGTTTATCCATTTTGAACCAACTTTATTTCTTAAGGCGTACTAGAGTTGTTTAACTTCCTTTATTTAAGGTAATCAGTGCGGAAATTTGCTAAAGCTTATTGGTAATGCATCTTTAGTTGGCTTGTGGCTTATTCTGTGCTAATTAGCTTCATTTGAGAATCGGTTGATTTACCCATATTGTGAACTTTCTTCAACAATCGTGTGCCTTGGGGTCAGCTCTTGGGATAAGGTTAAATCCTGCTTCAAAATTTCACATTACAAAGCTACCTATTATGAATGTGTGCTGCAGGAAACGAAAAATAATGTTTATTCCTTTTGTTTTTAGAAAGGTAAGCAGAAGGCGCAATTGGTCTATAGGTTTGTCAAAGTATTGTTAGTATTGTGAATTGGGATCATATACTACTGATGTGATTGCCTTTCAGTAGGCGGTACTTCAGAGTTGGTGGCATAGTTTATTCCTGCTTCTAAGACGAGGTTTAAGTGTCATGTGCACAGCATTTCCAGGGAAATTACATCGACTGGGGTGGGTTTTCGTCCTACTCGCTGAGGCTAGTGTTGGCGAATGGAAATTAAGCGGGATGCATTTTAGCAGTAGATATTACGGGGCATCCTTGACCTGTCTAAACTGATGGATCTTTGGAGGTCATTTTAGACGGAGCGCTGTCGTTGCCAAGTGAACCGGAACTACTAAGGACTTTCAGTAATAACGGGTTATATGGTTTTAACGACTCGATTTCATCGAAGACAGCGGGTTGATTTTAGAGCTCCGAATAGCGGCAGAATTCCCATCACCGCTTCCTCGAATTCGTTCCCAGAGATTTTTAACTGCTTTTTTCCCTTTCGGGGGGTGAAAACGTAGTATGGTCGAATTTGTGCCTTTTGCGTTGGAATTTAGTTTTGTTGGAAAGCGTAGACCTTTTATGTTGTTATACATGCATGCATTTGGTCGTGGTGGCATTATTGCATTTCCATTCATTTTTGTTGAGGAAGTTGGCATTTTTATGCGCCACACTTCCCGCCTCTACATCAGCTTAGCTTTTGTCCGCGAAAGCAGCAGCGCAACGGTGAATGTTGTAAAGGGTGGAGGACATTTGGAATTCTCTTCTGGGTCGGCATCCAAGTGCTGTGGATGAGATGCGGAGACCTGGAGAAGCACAAACACGACTGGACCATTAGTTGGCTCGTGGTAACAGAGGCCTCCAGCACGAATTTTCCTCTCAGTGCTTTCTGCTACACAGAAGGAGTTGGAAAAAAATTAATGAACGTAGATGGAATGAAAGGAACATAAAATGAAATCGTTTGGAAGATTAGCTTTATTACCCACGCACCTACTTCAATTATTTGTGTTCTGTTTTGATATTTTCACGCTTATCAAGATGAGGTGATCCTTCACAAACCTCCATCACTACCACCTTCCTCTTCCTGTAGGTGGCTCGAGGAAGAAGGTGCCACAGGTGCTGGCGACTATTGAGAACTGTATGCACCTCACCTCGCTGTTGGTGCAGGCTCTCTCGCCGACCGTTGCAATCACTCCCCTCCTCCAGCTGCCCCACATTGGGCCCACCCAACTGCGTCAGATCACCCATGCTAATGTAGGTCTCTGCAGACGTTGTACCCTTTTTTTCCTGCCCATTTATAATGACTGATTGCATTAAATCGCCTTTCAGTGGATTGGTCGAGTTTAAAATACTGAAATAGGCATGGGTTATTCCTTGTTTGGAGACAACTATCTCAATAGTTAACTTTTTTTCCACCCATAGACACATGAATGTTTTGTGTGATCAGAAGAGTGATGGGAGTGTATTAATCAGTGCCTTTCATCGCAACTGTTAACTTTACTGATTATATAATCATTTATTTGACGCAACACTACGTTGAACTAAGAGACTGTGATACGAAAGTGGGGGCTGAGAACGTTGCTAACTGGAGAAAAGTTCTTACTCCAGGCCCTCTCTCATTGCTTGGGCATGATAATTGCAGTTTCCGAGTTTGGTTGAATTAAAATGGGGCTGACAGCTAGAAAGTATTGGATTATTAGCAGGCATCAAAGGGTCCTTGACACTTTAAGGATGTTGGTTGGTTTGCAGATCTTCAGTGAATAAAGCCAGAATAAGTGGATGTATAGATGGATTAAGTGATTTGAAATGACTGAATGTCCATCAACATGTTCGTGTTGCTGGCAGCTTTTCTTGCACCTCCACACACACCTCTCGCTTTCCACAGCGCAACCTCAAGACGATGCGTCAACTAGCCACCCTTATCGAGAACCGTCGTCGTTCTGCCTTGTCGAGCCTCACTGATGAGCAGTACCAAGATGTGGTCAACGTCCTGGCAAGCATGCCTAGCCTTACCCTCTCCTGCCAATGCGTCGTCCTTGATGACGAGGATCCCAGCATTTGGCCCCTATCTATGGTCACCGTCAATGTGCGTCTCACTCGTCGTCCCCTCCTCTCTCTTAACCGCCAGCAGTCTAGTTGCGGTGGCGTTGCTGGTAACGCAGCGGGTGGAGTAGCGGTCATTGACGCTTCAACGGACTTGCGGTATACAGAACGAGAGGCTTCGTGGTACCTCTCCGGTGGTGCAAACGGCTTTGATGATCTTGCTGCAGGACGGTTCAACAACGTGAAGGAGGATGATGAAGGCATGGAGGTGAGCGGGGGCTTTGGAAGTGGTGGAGCCATTTCCATTCAGGGATGAATTCGATCTATTGCATAGCTTACGACGCAAAACACACACTCTCTAAAACACGTGCAGAAGTACCTTTATTTTCCATTATAGCCGTTTTTCCTAAAATCTTATTAACTTTTGGCTTTTCTTTCAGTTGGTCGAAGATGCTTTTGCTGGCAAGAGCGGTGGTGGAGGCACAGCAGCACGCGGAAAGCCTTCGGTCCCGGTATGGGACAAGTCGCGCCAACGTGGTAAAGGTGGCAAGAGTGGACGTGGAGGAAAGGGAGGCAAGGGCAGGTACAGCCAGTACCAGAAGGGTAGCTGCGGGAAGCAACAAAAAAGCACTAAACCCACCGCCCCCGTTAATGCTTGTCAGGAGGCTGAGAAAAAGGACTGTGAGTGTCTACTTAATTGTGTTTAAGTAGCTTTGTTTTGGTTTAAATTTGGTAATTGCTGGATTTAAAGTATTTTAAAACCGCTTTAGCATAATGAATTTCATCTAGACATTTTGTTGAAACAAAGACGGAATTGGTAGTTTGCAAATGCATCATTTGAATTAGGCATTTGTTGTTTGGGCATTGTTGCCCATTTTTTTCGTGAAAGCGGCATGGTATTCGTGAAGATGACGAATTGTTCGGCGTTTTGGGATTACGCTGTAATAAAGTGGGGGAATTCGTTATCATTTGCTGGTAGCAACTTAGGCATCTAGCTAGCGTTTGGATCTGCTGGACCTTAATTGAGGGGTTAGTCAGTTGTTTAAACAGCAAACCTCGGTTGGCATGATTAATTTTTGCCTTTCTCCCAACAGATCGGTTAAAGCTGGTAAACGGTGGCGCCAATACCATCGCACTTGACGCAATCTCAACGGAGACGATGATGGCGCCAGGTGAAGGGGAGGCGGTGGTGGAGACAGAAAGTGTAGAAGGAGGTGCTGCGACGCTGCCTGGAGTGGAATGTCGGGTGGAGTCGGAGGCGCAAAGACGCGAGGAGAATAGTGCGTTGGATAGTAAACCACGATGCAGCCATCTAGTACACTGTCCTTTCTTTCCCCTGGTGAGTTTTTGATAATTTTCTCTTTAATTCATTCGGCATGCTGTGTGTCTCATCAACTTTTTTCTTTGACTATGCATTCGGATGCCCGGTTTTTCTATTCCTTCTCTATGCATCTGCCCTTTCATCCTTCCATCCATCTCATCCATCCCTCCTGTATCTATCCATCCGTTCCTTGTGTATCTACTCATTTCTATGCCATTCATTTTTCCTCATGTTTTCGTGTGTCTTAGTTACAACATACTGATTCCCTCTGCTCATTTCATTGATTAGCAAGTTGCAGTTTCTTAATTTTACTATCTGACTGCTCATTTCCACCTCAGCTGGTCAGTTATTTGCTCATTTCTGAATAGTTGATCCATGCTTTTGTTATTCCCTACCTATTCATTATTTCCTTCATCTAGTCGATTATCCATAGTGTATCCATTCCTTTACAATGGATGCATTTGTTACAGCTCTCTCTGTTCATTCTCAACTAGTTTTTTGTTTTAAGATAGTCTCGGAGGGCATCATCACACCAAATAAGCATGAATATGTCCTTTTTGATTTTGAAAATACCTGTAGTTTTTGTTTTTCTCTCCTCAAAACGAAATAAAGGATGATTGCTGTGATATTCCACCCAGATGTCCCCAGACTTTTAATTTTGAGGTTTTCCTTTTAATAAAATGTCACATTTGTCCTTTATGTGTATATACCTTACCTTGATCCATCTATTCGTCGCTCCACACTTTGAAGAACCAAACGATACGTCTATTCTGACTGTCCATTCTATTGTCTTCTTCGGAGGCTTACACGATTAGTTTCATTTCTGTTTCTCCCCTCACTAAAGCTACTTTTTTATGTTGTCTCACAGGAGAAGTACGAGGGTTGGTGGTTGTATCTAGTGGATCGGAAGATGCGACAACTAGTGACCAAGCCCGTTTACCTCAATTCGCTGGAAACCGAAGAGGAGGTGAGATCTTGCCGTTCCATCTCCGCCTATCATCTCTGCCACTCGTCCATGCTCCTTGTATCCACCCTTCCTCTAGTTCATCTTAATTTCATCCATCTGCCTATGAGCTGCTGTGTCATGCCTTTTCCCACTTCCCACTTTCGCCTTATCAACTCCTTTTTGCACCGTTTGTAGCTGAGCCTAAAGTTTGTAGCGCCATCCTTCCCCGGCAGTTACCTCTACACCCTCTGTGTTCGTTCCGACAGCTATGTGGACCTGGACTTCTCCGAAAATGTTCCGGTACGTACAAGTTTTACAAATTCTTTACATCGTACGTAATTGGATCTAGTTGTGATTTTTGCGTTTAGATTATCCTTTTTACGGTTGAATTTATTCTTTGTTGGGGTCGTTTTAGTTTGTACTCCATTGTCTACTTTCTTCCTATCTATCCCTCTATCCATCCACCGGTTTGTCTTTCTGTCCATGTCTAGCATCTCTCTAGTGAATCCATTTTCCTTAATGGTGTCAAAATGTTAAGCAGCTTTTAAATAGATGCTCACGTTTGTTCGTATATTACTTTTATCCGAATTTTCGACCAAGTTGGTAAACTTGTACTTCAAGTGGCTTTTATTTTGTCACCGTCGAACTACTTTAGTTCACAGTGGCGGCTTTGCCAGAGCATGTGTTGAAGAGTCTCAAGGAGGCGGAAGCACGCAACCTGGAAAGCGGTTTATCTTCCTCCGACGAAGACGAGGACGAGGAGGAGGAAGATGGCGAAGATGAAGAAGGCTATGAGGAGGAGGAAGAGGAGGTAAAAAGCGAGGCGGTAGAGTTTGTCACTCAGCGATGTTGACTAATCAGGACATTTGTGTTGCTGCTGTGTTTGTGACGACAGACTGTGTGTACAGTTTGTTGTTTTGTTTCCACACCCTTGATGGCCTATGAAATGCTTTTGATAAAAAAGGGCGTTTTTTGTGCACCTTGTAGCTGGATCCAACTAAATCACTCTTGTGCTCATTTCGATTTTGCTGTCAGCGGGCTCAGACTTGGTGCAGCTTGGGTTAATTTTACCCAAAAGTTAATTGCATTTCTGAATTTTAGGGTGTTGGTTTTTTGATATCCGTTGAAGAAAGTACTTGCCGTTCTGATTTGATATTTTTTGAGTAGATATTTGACTACATGAGCTCTTAACACTCTTCAGTTAGTACTTCCATTTGGATCATTCTCTCAAGCTGGTATGTTGCGGGCTAGTGACGCTGATCCAAGAGGACAGCTTTTCTGGTTTCTTTGGTCAGTTATCAAACCTTAAACATCGCAGGAGGGAAGCATCTGTTTCCGGTGGCTCACCACGGAAGGAAGAAACATCATTTTTACGTTCTGTATAGCGTCTGTTGGGGTGAAATCCGTTTCAAAGAATCGAAAAGTGTATCTTTGACGCGGTTCGCTCAACGGAGGACGCGGTGATAAGCGATTCCGCCCTCCTTGCAGTTCAAAGTCTGGAACGACTGCGGGGAGCTCCGAGCTATATGGGCTCTTCAGTCTCTACATCTGGCACCTCCAACCTGACAACACAACCTTCAGGAGGTGGTTAAAGCTTCTTGGCTTTTATACATGACTTCAGGCAGGACACGCAATGCTGCATCACCAATACAGTCTTTTGGAAGCACAAAGGGGGCATCTATTGGCAAAAAAAGAAACAGAAAGGGCAGTAATTTTTGACATGACAGGGTTTAATGCTGACTGCCTCCAGCGCTTCCTGCCCCAGATCCTGCGATTCATCCGGAAAGTCGATTGGTACAACTTTGGCTCGGAGTTAAGTAAGTCGATGTTTGAGAGTTAATGAACATCAACGCCAAAGACTCGGTGTCATATATTTCCTGGTAAACTTGCTTTCCCGTTTCCGAGTCTAAAGAAAGTGGCCTACGAAGGCTTATTTCAAAAGAAACGTTTTACAGTCGCCTGAGACTGCATCTGAGCAAATGTAGCCTCCCACCCCGAGACTTCCCTGAAAACAAAAGGAGACATAATACTCGAGCAGAAAGTATGTATTCAATACACAGAGGGACCTGCAGCTACTGGCTTGATTCGGGGACCAGTTCACTTGACGAGGGTACAGTATTTAGGACACAAAATGACCACCTACGAAAATCGCGAGTTAAACAAACAGCGCATTGCATGGTCCCTCTCCCATTTTGAGAGTCGACCTTGGTGCTCCCCAAGGTCAACTTCCCGTGTCAGCTATCACAACGCCGTCGGTGCTGAAAGGAATCACCAACCATGTCAGTCGTAAAATTTTCATGCAACTGGGAAGATAACTGACTGTTTGGAAACTGCATTAAGGGGATGAGTGAATGTTCTGCCTAGCCGTAGGAACACTGGCCTAAAAGAGCAGAGCCATGTAACAAAGAAGGAGGTTTAGTGCAGTCCCATGGGAGTGTAGGGTTTCTATGTCTATTCCTCCTTGCCACTTTGTTCTCACCTCAGCGCTGTCCAGCCATGTCTCTCTAAGTTCTATTCAGCTTGTAGAGAGGTGGAGAGATGGTGAGATGACATAATTGACATCTTTATGTAGGAAAGGCAGACAGCTCCATAACAAACTTCCCCAGATGGTTCGAGGCTAGTACCGCTTTATTTGTTAATGGCTTTCCTACAGACAACGGGAGTGGGGTAGTCGCCGAAGGTAGACGTCATTTTCAGGCCTTCTGTTAGGGGTCGTCACTGATTCTCCCATCCACAGCCTACCCGCTTCTTCCGTCCTGCTATGGTCTACCACCCATCAGGCAAAATCAGCATAGATATCCTTCAAGATCGAGTTGGCCTTCCGCTGCCACTAATGCAGCGCATTGGCACTTCTCTGAAGACGAAAGAAGGCGTAGGCTATGTATTGTCGACGCATAGTTGGGCTTGGGGCCAGCCTATCCAGCGAAGGTACAATGGCCAAGACACAAAGCGGCCCTTCATCAAAACCGAGAGTTAAACGTCCAACGTATTACACAAATTCTCCAAATCTGGTGCTTTCGATGGACACTAGTAAGCAATTGCCAAGTCTCCCTTTCGTCAATTTTGCTGGACTATTGTGTACTTTCAGAATCAAAATCATAAAATGTTACCAATATGGAACAAAAAAAGTGGGCATTTGGCCATTGCATGCTCACAGATGCAAAATTTGTCTACTGACCGCGATCGTTCATCACGGCCGCGTAATTACTGACCTGGAATCCACATTCACCGCCTCTGGGGGAGTTTCCTTACACCCGCACGCAAGAATTTTATAGCCTACGCTGGGCTAGAGTCAACTCATCCATTGCTGACCCAATGCGTGACTTTAACTGTCAAGCAGGTCTAGCGCATCGGTGCCGTTGGTGCTTGATTAAGCCTCTGGAAGGCTGAATTAAAGAGTTCACCATTGAACTACAACAAAGGTGATGCCTGCATGGGTAACGGTAGTGTTGATCATTTTTTTTTCCTTTCCTTGGGATGAAGCGCATTTAAACATTCCGTAGGGGGTTCGCGATGTAAGGATTAGTAAATACCGAAGTCGCAGCTCAGAGTTTTAATGGCTTTTATGCCATTATGACATAGATCAGATTTTAGGGGGAAAGTATTTACAGATAGTTACTTTTTATCAACTTCGCAATCGAATAAATCCGCAGAAAAGGGTGTTTTTTACTTGCATAACCTCGTCTATTTTGGCAGCATTCAGGTCAGGAACTAGCGCAGCAGTAACCAAGTTAAACTTAAAAATCCGCAGATTTACTTTGCTGGGGGGCGGATTTTGCGCACCCGACCTCGCCAGCTCATCGTCCAGGCGGGTGGGGGGTGCTGTGATAGAGACGACCCTGCCACCACCCCTCCCCCTCTGGCCTCTTGGCGCCGAGGTCATACGCGCTTGGGAGGGTATATAAACGAACGACGCTGAGACGATGCGTTTAGTCATGGTCCGCGCGGTGTGCATCCAGGGGCTCGTTTACTCGAATTGGTCTGCGTGGGGCACTAATTCGAGTCAACAGGGTCGTTGCTGCGCACATTTAACGCCTCTTTTATCTCATTTATTTCATATTTTTTGCACCACTTATGCATCCATTTTGCAGACAGTAGACTCGTTACTATTTCACGCTTTAATATGCCATATAAATATTCACCTGTAGCACATTATACACGAGTTTGGAAGTTTGGATTCCTCATAACTGACTGTGGTTTGGATTCCACTCATTTAGACATCTCAGCCGTGAAAATTGGTAATTATAACAATAGTCATTGCCTTTTACAGCTCGTATAGATACAACTTATTTACCAACCCATGACGTCCCTACTTTCTAACTTTGTTATTTTATGATAATTGTTTTGACCAAATCGTTAAATGCACAGCTCGATTAAGTTTAAACACCCCATTTTCGCGGTTATCAAACAGCACAATCTTAAATGGAGTGAAAACATATTCAGGTTGTGGCGACCGTTATTGCTCTGGAACCTCGGCGGTCAACTTGGTAAGTTGCATATATGTTTACAAAATGTATGCACTGCTGTTATTACGTAGCGTCCCGAGACTCCCTGAAGACGAAAGAAGACACAATACTCGGGCAGAACACATATATATTCAGCACGGAGAAGGTGTCTGGGCTATTGGCATGGTCCAAAAGGCCAGCCTACCCAGCGAGGTACAAGGGGGCTAAATCAAAGTTCAAAAGTGGCTCCTCACCAGAACCGAGGGATAAACCGCTATCGTATTACAATTATAAGGCTACTTATTAAAAGTCGAATACCTCATTTGACAGTCAGTGGCTCATGAACAGCTGACCAGCCTATAGTTACCCTTTAGCTAGCCTGTAATGGAAATGTCTAGACTATCAACTTCAACGCGCTACTTCTCCAATCTTTGTGATATTCAGCTGCTACATCGTATTGCCAAATCGTTCCCGTCAGGTTATTTTCGTTAGGGGGAATTCATCGGCCACTACAATCATTTGTTTAGCACAGTGCCACATAATTAACAACTAAACTTTAGTGTTAAAGAAGCCTAGTTTTGTGCATAGCACTTTAAATTTTAGTCCGATTTCTATTTTTTCATTTAATCACGTGCGGTTTCAATTTCCTATCTAACAAGAAGGTGAAAATGATTTCTGGCTTAAACAACTTTGCTGTGTATTTGTGTAATAACTGCCTAACATTTAGCATTTTTGCTGCAAGTTTGACAAGTTAGGTGAGAAGATTACGAGCACTTGTTTTACTGTACAAGTGGGGGCGTCCTAGGCTGAATGCCACATATAACCACTTTTTAAAATCGCAATTATCTAGCTTGATGTAAATGGATATACCCTCAATCTCAAGTTGATGTGAGCTCTCATAATTTTTCAGCCATAGTTTTTTTCATAGATTCACGAGTTTAAACCGGGAAAGACATTAAGCTTGTAGTGTTTCTTTCCTCATTTTTTTAAAGACATACTTTTTGTTCAGAGACAGCTTGTTCCAACTGGCGCATTAACAAATGGCATATGTCAAAAAATGCTTGTTGCTCAACTCTAACTCCGACCCCGATAAAGCAAGTCTACGCAGCTCAATCGCGAGTTCAATTGCCTCTTCTGCCACCATCCAATTGCCTCTTCCAACCCCTCAGTCTGTTCACATTGGAGTCAAATGTCCCGTTACTGGGGTTGAAGTATGTCTTAAAAGATACCTATGAACACGTAGTTACTAAATTAGTCACTTTTTATTATGAACAGTCAAATTTTTTGCACAAGGGATTACTACACGGTCACATCATAGTAGTGTTTTGGCGATTATATTACAAAGTGGCTACAATTTTTGCACAATTTTTTTTAATTTTGATGCTTAATCAGTAGAAATGTAGGCAATTTTTCCGATAAAAGTTTATAAGAGTGAATATACATCTACAATTTGCTATGCTTTCAGTCGGCATAAATAAGTTATTCAGTTTGTTTCTCTCAAAATTTTTTGATGCTGAAAATTGGACATGCAAACCACCTTGGTATCGTCAAAATAGCTGACACATTTACAACAATAATCTCTCAGACGATTTATTTGGATCAAACATCTGACAATAAATTATAGTCTAATATGGTTTGAGTAAAGAGGGTTCTCATGCGAATTAGCTGCAACAAAACTGGTGCAAATGACTACGTTTGGGTTGGCGAGATTGCACTTCTTCATTTTTCCTGTCTAACATATTACTCATTTTGTGATAAGAAATGTGATGCAGCTTAGGGTAATGCTTTACACTTAAAGTCAAATCAGAACCAGTGTTGATCAGAGAAAAGTAAGCTTTCACTAAGTAAAGTCCGGATCGGTTTTTCCCACACGCGCCTTTTCGTGCATTGGTACATGCGTCTTGAATTTTTCAGCTCCCAGAAAGCGTCAGTATTGAAAAATTTTGGAATCACAGCTTAGTAAGGGGTCTGTGTTTAAGTTTGGGGGTTGCAAATCCTTGCAAACTACTGTTTTCACCACTTTAATTAAAGTTTGACCTCTTCTATAACTTCATAACGGATATTAAGGCAAAAGGCTAGGATTTGGCGCTTAATTGCCTTTTTTTGGTGGAAATTATCAGTACGGACTGGTCAAGGATGGGGTATTTTATAACATTGTAATATTTGACCGTCTTTTATACGTTTCCATTATTCAAATGCCTCACTTCTCACTGGCTGGATATCCCAAAATATGCTTAGTGGTGTAAATTTGGTGCTTTTGTTTCTCTGAGTCGTCATTAACCACCAGCTGGTCTTTGCATATTTTGATTTTGATGGATGCCTGTCATCTAAATTAGCAGTGCTTGACATGACACAGAACATATGCGCCAGTTTTTGATAATGGAACACATCTGCAAGTTTATAATGTGTACAGTGTCGCCACGATAGCATCCTTTAATAAAAAAGGAAAACTCAAATGCCAGTTTGAGTTGAACGCCTCCGCTCAGTTTTTTTTACATGTCAGGCAGCGGTAATAAACAATTACAGTAGTATTTTTCTTTAGGGGGCAGGCAATTATGTGGGTGACTTTCGTTTTTGGGGGTGTGATCACTTACCGTCGACACAGATAGCATCATCACTCTGACCTCTTCCTCATGTTGAGGCGCTGGTGGTGGTGGCGGTGGCAGAGTCAGCAGAAGCATGGTTCTCAACAGGGGCATTTGCTCACCTGCACGCACACAAACACACACCAGAAGCGCGTTTACATGCATGCGTAAGCGGGTTGGTTTGGTGGATAGTTAGCCAACACAGTCTACTGCTAGATGTCATCATGAAGGATTGATTTAGAGCTGCGTAGTCGCACAAACACACGCTATCATGGAGAGAAAGAAAGAAGGAGATAGCATATGTGCATGTGATTGAGTGCGTGAATGAGTGATCGAATGAGTGATATCGGTAGAAATGAGATATGATGCCATTTCTACAGTCACAGGGCATTTATCTTTCGCAATAGTTACACCATAACGATTCTACAACTTGAAGACGTTTGCGTTGAGAAGGAAACTAGATCGAACGTAAAGTTTTGGCAGAACTCCAAAAGTTTGCGCCACCAAAGTGACAAATTTAAATGCTTAGACCAACCTGATACAGCTGGTAATCAAAAACTGATGAGAGATACATGTTGGAAGTTAACAATTCTGGCCTTAGGCAAACAAGTCGCAGCGTCACATATGAGTGACGCTGGTAGTAAACGTGTAACTATAAATGAAATTTGTGTCTTCCACCATGCAGAAGTGTCTATGATGACGTGGTGCACCCTAAAGTATGTGTCTTCTAACTTATTTATTTTTCTTTCAAGCATTACTTTTAATCTAAATTTTTTAAGGGATGAATACTACTTGAAGGACGACTTGGAAACAGTGTCGAATTTGATAATGACAACCGAAAGGGATCTAGATTTGTTAGTTTCTGCCGTTATCCATGTTGTTTTTGAATTGCGGCACCTTCCTACTTGTAAACACTGAGGCATCTTGGAGACGATGAGGCATTTGCGTGGACTATTTTTGTCCACGCCCCACCTCAATTAGCCCCTCACTCAGAAGTTCTTCAAAGATAACATTCCCATGAGGGTTTCCCTGTCACCTCCTTTAAGTGGAGGCTCATTAGGAGGTAGTTAATTATCAATACACGAGACCCTTTACTAGAGAGGAGTCGCATAATCTATGCACACGTGTGAAGTTGTCAAAAAATGGTGAATTTTAATGGCTTCAAAAGAAGTCGCTCATAATTTTTGAAATCCTGAGATCAGGTTTATATACAAACGCTGAATGAAAACTGCTTTTCCTATTTTAAAGTAATGACTTTCTCTAGTCAGCACTCTGAGGCATGGCATCATCCAATACTCACGAAATACCAACGAGAAGACCACCGTATCACCTTTCTTGGCTTTTAACCTTCTGGATGATGGGTAGGCATTTGATCCACAACTGGGCATCAGGAATGTCCAAGTACAGGCGTTATTTAACCGTGCCTATTAAACCGCTTCTTTGTCAGAAATTTTTTAGGCACTTACTTAAACAACGACTTTCATTTGACACATCTGGTCCGACAAGCCACTGCTTAAGGTTGGAAATTGCGGTCCCGCAGTAAACCGATCCCTATATCAGAAAGTAAGAAGGGACCACCTCTCCGTCACCTGCCCCTCCCCACTCAGATAAGAATAAAGCACTTGATGTCAGACAATAAAATGATTCAAAATTCACTCAAGTTGCGTGTCTGAGTCGGTGTGACTTTTTGGGGCTCCGTTAGCGTCTGACCTGACAGTTGAATTTATTCTTTACCGATGCAATATATCAAGCAGAGCGTAGAGACAGAAGTCCAGGTTGTAGATTTGCATAAATTTTGTGGTAGATTCAGAGTTTATAAAAACTTGCCTACAAATACTCAACTCATCCATTTTCGCAAAATTGGTAATCCACTGAGTGTCACTTGTCAAAACAATGAGTTTACGAATGTGCAATCGCTGTCAGGCATTGAGATGGCGCCAGCCCAGATCACGGCATGGCAGCAGCGATGGCAGTGGTTATTTTCCATCCCGAATACGCTTGTATTACCACGTGGTGGTGATTGCAAAGTGCGATGTTGGCGTAGCACCTAACAACATTATGCTAATTTGTCTACCTGCCGCCCTATACTCTGGCAAATCCACAGAATGCACAGCTAAGGCCTTTGTTGTTGTCATCGCTATCATCACTAGTTGTTGCTTCTTTTGTTCTCGTGGTTAAAATTTGCAGTAAGTTCAACATCAAAAGAAGAAACAGGCGCAATTGTGCATTCCATGTAAATGAATGACCAAACCACGGGTGACTCGGTAGCAGTGGCAATGGATACTAAAGGGGAAAAGTTTGTCACCTAAATATTTGTTGCAAGAAGTAGGGTAATCGGATTATCCCCTGAAAGGCCAGCACACAGAGCTGGAGAATGATACGTAAGCGAGTCCGTCATGTTGTAAAATGTCGTCTTCAGCCTTCTCCACGCTGTCACCGTAGTGCCATTTGAAGGAACTGCGAGTGTGGAAAGGACGCAATTCAACGGTGGTTGAGTGGCTTGTAGACTTGAATAAGTTTATCTACAAACCACATTGAAGAGAATCTTGGATATATGGGGGTTCGGCCTCAATTTATACCCTTTGTATTTTGCATGACCTGAAACAATTTTACGGTTTTCGATGCGTCTTGAAAAGTACTCTTGTTTGTATGTACTATAAAGCATGGGTATTCGGCAGCATCCCCCCCCCCCTTTGCTTTCAAGGCAATTTAACATCTCTTAAACTGTCATTTGAACCGGATGAATGTAGTTCTACCTTGTCACTCTTACAAATCCACCTTCATTCAGAATCAAGGCTAAGAAAACCTCATCGTTGCTGTGTAAATTGTTAACTAGCTGCTCAGTGGTTACCTCCATCCGTCTGCAGGCCTAATTACGAGAGGGACTAAGGCAGGCTCGCTGACATTGTCTTTCTTTTGGGAAAAGTACTGAAGGAATAGGTGAAAGCTGGAAAGTGTTTTTTAGGACGGCGTTATTATAACGACTCAGCTGAACTCTTTACCTTATCTCCGAGTAAAACTGTCATCTTTTTAAGGACAAAAAAGCACAAAATCTTTCACTTTTGTCAAGCAGGAGAGAGGATGCCCTTTGTCAAGAAGAAAGTGGAAGGATGAGAGGGTTGAGCGGACCACTCCCAGTTGCATCATAGAGCAGTTTCGTGGAATTTATCCACATGATCTTAGTACTCTTTGAAAAAAGAAGGGATATATTTTTGAGTTTTTTTTTTGAAAATTACTTTTTAACTTACCCGTGAGTTCAACGAGAAATTGCACCCTCATTGTTTAGTCAGGAGGTGGTTTGATTTGAAAATTACCCGAGGCCATTATGCAAACAATCTATGAGGAACGAACATGGAGCGAGGACGATGTATTGACCAGGAGAACCGCCTAAAATTATTTCTTACAAAAGTAATAAATCACAATAGTTTAAAAAATTGTCTGCAAAGGTAGACTTTTTTATTCAAGATGCTTGGAATAGCTGGCAACTCATCTTATAATAATCGTGAGAGATTACCATGACAAAATCAGACCACAAATGAAGGCAATATTACATTTATTTGATAGTTGTGCATTATAAAATCGGTTAGAGAAAAAAATGTATCTTTCGCGAAAAAAGGGAATGGTTAAATTTGCACAGGCAGACCTTCTCTACTGATTTCTTGGCTCTCAATTCATTTAGTCATAAATAAATAATCCACTATTATATTAGTTTTAAATTGTGATATTATAAAGTAAGAGACTTTCGCTTACCTTTGCAGCAAAAAGTTTGTGAGTATTAACAAGTTCACCACCAGCGTCACATATACGTGACACATGTCACTTATCGGTTAATGATGGCTATGATTGCATGAAGTCGTGTCATTTGCTTCAGAAGACTCTAACAAAAGAAAAATGTTTTTGGTCTTATAGCGATCTTGCTTTTATTATTTGAATCGCATAACTTTACATAAAATCCCCTTTTTGTGGTCTGTGGTAGCACCCTCGCCCCTATCTCCCTTGCTAGTGGAGGTGTTGTCAATATTTTCCGGCTTTGTGTACATTTCTAATGCAAAATCAAAAAATACCATTCCGGTTGCCTTCTTGGTAGTGGACTTGACTTCAAAAAGCGGAAGCTAGAACGAGGTCTTGGTTCACTAGCAACCTACCGTTAAAGCACTACCTCACTGGGCCAATTTATTATTGCATAGTAACAAAGGAAAATCTACTGGGTGAATTTTCACTCACCTTAGAGACTCTAAAAGGAATGAATCTATGAAATCAGATGCTTTGAGCACATATTTTAGTCGTAGGGATTATCTACTAATGTGTGAGAAGATCTAATGTATCCTTTTGGCTTCCGCCTCCGGCGGCACAACGCACATTCAGGAGACTACGTCATCGTCAAAGGTGAGATATATGATTTCAAGCAAAATTGGTGTGCATGTTTAGTATGAAAAAAAAATTATAGATCTACCCGCTGTCTTTTACATTTAAGGGGTGTGCATGGTGGGGCACGGAGACTCTCGAGTCTTAAGGCAATGGCAGCGCTTCCACTCGAAGTCCAAATGGGTCTCCAAAAGATCCTTATTGGACCCAAGTTTATTAACCATGATTGGAATGCTTGAAGTGCTCAAACGGTTAATCATAACCTCTGGAGATTAGTGGTTCCTCGCAGAGGATCCAGTCGTGGATCACGAGTACGGTCAGGAGTAAACGCGTTCCCTTCTCAAAGTGCAGAAACATTGAGAGTCAGGGTTCCAACCTTTTTAGAAAAAAGCTGTTTTTCTAACTTACCATTACCTCTACTGGATGAAAGAGCTTCTAGAAGCAAAGTAAGTGCGTAAAAACAATTAATCGTGCAATTTTTTGACTTTGTTGGGACAAAATCGGTGTTTTTTAAGGCTCCTTTTTCCGCAGGTAGTATTTTTATGAGCAGGAGATAAATATTGACATTTTCTATCTTTAAAATTGAGTTATATCTACTGACACATAAGGAGTAAAAAGTGGCAGCGCCTAAGAAATGACAAAATCTTGTGCTTGACATTTTCCCCCAAATCTGGCGGATATCTTGGTCTGTATGCTAACGAAATAATAAAGGGAGGATGTGGACCCCACTCCTATCATACAAACGACGATGAAAAATTCTTGATTTATTGTTACTGTGGTGGGAACGCGTGGTATTAGTGTCCTCACTTCTCAGCTTGGCAGAAACCTCCACCTCCTTGAGTGATCGTGAACGATAAGATATTTTTAACTCAGTAAATTATCTTGCATCCGTCATCAAATATGGCAAGAAATGAAGCTGAGTAGATGACACAAATGAAACTTTTTACGTTGTCTCTCACTTCAACAGAATATCTTTGTGGTGCAGTCCACAGAGAGTGTTGGTCACCTTCGACGCCACGCCGTACTACGCAGCGACTTGGATGTTGAGGAGGCGCTCAATTATGGTCTCTATCTGCCTCCACAGGGTAGTAAAAAGGGTAAATTTTTAGAAGACGAGCGCCCCATTGCCGACTATCCGGTGCTTCTGCAAAGCGGTGGCCATCGCAGTCGCAACGCTGACGACATGTCCTCCGTCTCATCCACCACCACCACCACCACCCTTACAAATGGATTGCACCATAGTCCCGACTCGGGGGTTGGTCAAGACCCCTGTTGGCTGGAGGTGAGTCAAACAATTTTTAAGCCTCCTCTGTCTAAAGATTGGATCCTTGAATCTGCCTTTTGATAGTCCATGTTATGTCCATAATAAAGTGCAGAGTCTCGGAAAATAGTGACGACTAAATTTGTTTAGAATCACTTACCTCATCTGAAGTTGTCTAACTCAACCTGTCACTTTTTTTCGATCTTTTTTAGTAAAGATTAAAATTTGGTTTACCTTTTTGAGTGTTTTTTTTTTCCAGCGCACAAAATTGTTGTCAATGATGGAGTTTAGTGCACTTGTATGACCTTGTATCCTATCCAATCCCATTATGCCTACCTGGTTGATACCTCGTTGAAAGTTGGTGAATTAAGAATGATTAATTCTTCAAAAAAATAAGTCATTTGGTATTTTTGTCATTAAAACGCCATTTTATTGTTAACCTGGGCAAGAACTCGATTTACGGTCTTGTTTTGAGTGATGCCTCACGTGGAGAACGTTAAATGACTCAAGAAATTGGCTACCTCCTACTAAATAATCAGATAGCTCTTGGTTTTAAATGACTTTGGCAGTTAAAAGCTTTAAACAGCATTTTTTTTTTGGAACTAATATTGCATCAGAAGCTAAAAAATAGATGTAAATACTGGGGGGTCATATGACTACTTGCCAGATGAATCAGTTAACTTTCGGGCCTCGCCAAAGAATTTACACACTGGGAGAGGCGGTATGAGCAGGCGGGAAGTTGCATTGCACAAGAACGAAGTATAGGGTCTAAACCTCACCTTACAGATGTGATGACTGCAGGACACTCCACTCTGGCGGTCAAACTGTCCATAATCGCGACAACATTGAATAGTGAAGGAAGGAACCATTGAATTTGTGCTCGTAGACCAAAAGGCTGTTAATCCTCTTTAAAATGTGGCTTTTTACGAGTAGCCCAAAATTTGTAATATCTTAATTGCCAAAGTTTCAGTCGTAGCTTTAGAAACAAACAAAAGCCGATGAGGTCTTTGTTTAAGTGTGTGAAGACTTATCGAATTCGGAGATGGCTGTAGCTTTGTTTTTGAGGCTTAGAAGTAGGATTTTAAAAAGTGACTGACACGACAAGGTGCTGTGGAAGTGAGCACCTGACAGTCGACATCTAACCTAAAGCGCCCACTTAGCAAATGACTCCTCTGGCTTGATGTCCTTGATCCATACCGCAGATTTAAAGTACCAAAAGGCTGTTACTGTGGCATAAAAGCAGAAATATTGGCTCGTCTTTGCAAAAGACAGAAGTTGCTCAATCTCAGACAATGGAAAATACTCGTAGGAGTGCAAGAAATTGTGGGGCTTCTTTTGGTCGCTAATCTGAATCACATGGTTATCCCAAAGCCCCAAATGACTGCCTTAATTGGGATAGCTTACCCACTAAATC